CTCTCACAATGCCTTGGATCTCCCTCCTCACCCTCTTCGCTTACTACTCAGGTACATTCTGCAAAGTGAAATAAGTCATTTTTAAAAGGATTGCCTTACGATGAAGAACTCCAACCATATCAAACTGGCAAAGATGTCCCAGTTATTACTCTATTGTCCCACTTTTCTCATGTCCTCGTTTCTCTCTCCTCTTCCAACTTTCCCTCTTTTTTGCCAGCAGAGCAGAACCGAGGAGAGGGTGACCTCTCACCCTTTCCAATTGGCTGAGGAAAAAGTAAACTGTCTCTCCTAGCTGATCTTGTTCATCTTCTTTCATCCTTTTTGCCATCTTGACCACCCTCAGCAACACACGTTCAGCTATGAAAGATTGAGGTGGGAGGTACGAGAATGTTGACTGATTCTGAAATACTTCCTTCCTCAGGTACCTTGGGGCAATAGGTGGTCTCCCAGCCACCATTTTAATCTGTCTCTCTGGGGCAAAATGGCAAAATCACTTGCTCAGGGAACAGAATCAGTAGCAAGGAAGTGCAATGGTACCAACAGAAACCTGGCAAGGCCCCTGTTCTCATTATATATTGGAGTAGTGAGCGGTCCTCGGGGATCTCAGACCGATTCTCTGGCACCAACTCTGACAACACAGCCACCTTAAGCATTTCCTGGGTCCAAGCAGAAGACAAGGCAGATTATTACTGCCAGGTGTGGGACAGCAGCACCGAACAGCACACAGTACTTGAAGCAGAGGGGAAGTGAGACCAAAACCTGCAATGAAGTCAACTTGACTACTGTATTCTACTCATGTATGAATTGGCCTCATTTACAAGTCAGGAGAGGGGGGAAATGAGACCAAAACTTTGTTCAACAAAGACCACATCTAGCTTTTGGATCCTTTTTGGGACTTGATTGTGTCTTTCACTGCCAAGGTCCAAGAGTTAGAGAAGAGCCTGGTGAATCTCAGTTTACTAAGTCTCTCATCTAGATCTGCCTGGTGCATTGCAATAAAATAAAAGAACACTAGAGGGTGATGGTGAATCATAAAGACATTGTTGAGAGGGGCTTGGCAGAATGAACCAGACAGGGCTTATCTACACCATGCTGGTGTGTGCATTAAACAACCTCCTTTTCATGACACCTTTACATGTCCCCCAGAGTCTAGTTGACGTCCTGCCTCAAACGGGTGGAGCACAAAGTCCCATCAGGTGTAGCTCCTCTTCATGCATGGACCATCTCCCACACAGTTGCTTGGCAGTGACTCCAAGGGACATTTATGACCAGGCCTGGGCAGAGGAGACCCATTGCTGTATGGCTTGAGGTCCACACTGTAGGAATCTGAGGCTTCTCACTCAACCAAGGCTTTACTCTTTCTTGGTTTGCCTGCATCCTGTTTCAAGTGCTACTCCCTACTCTTGCCATGGCCTTGTGGAACCTTTGCAAATGCTTCCTTGCCTCCTTATTTTTTCCATATCTCAGTAACAAATACCTGTGTTTTCCATAGCTGATGATCACACTGCTACCAATGTTAGCTGGATATTAGCAAGATGTGATGTGTGGGCCCTCATTGCAATGGAGCAACACTTCCAATGACAGTCCATAAAGCAAACACAAATATCACTCTAAATTCAAGCCATTAGCATCTCTACCAGAGATGTATCTGAAAGTGAGAAAAGGTACATGCTATATTTTTCCAAAGTTCCTCCAAGTGTGGAATGACTGGTGTTCCAGACTGGTGCATTGGTGGTTCAAGACTCCTGGGAACTGGCCCAACTTTTACTTCCAGCTGTTTTTTTCTGGCTAGTTCTGCTCACTAAAGACATGTATAAGAAAGACCTTTTGGGTTATTTTGGATTATTTTCAAGCATCTTTGTCATGTCTTTCTGCAAAGTACATGGGGACACCATCAAACCCCCTCAGAAGAAAAATCAAGTCCTTACTATTGCGTGGTTTGAGGTTATTCTTTCCAAGGCTGCGACTACACAGCAGTCTAAAGAACTGGGCATGTATAGCCTGAAGAAGAGAAGGTTGAGAGGAGATATGATAGCCATGTATAAATATGTGAGAGGAAGTCACAAGGAGGAGGGAGCAAGCTTGTTTTCTGCTTCCCTGGAGACTAGGATGCGAAGCAATGGCTTCAAACTATAAGAAAGGGGATTCCATCTGAACATTAGGAAGAACTTCCTGACTGTGAGAGCCGTTCAGCAGTGGAACTCTCTGCCCTGGAGTGTGGTGGAGGCTCCTTCTTTGGAAGCTTTTGGACGGAGCCTGGATGGCCATCTGTCGGGGGTGCTTTGAATGCGGTGTTCCTGCTTCTTGGCAGAGGGTTGGACTGGATGGCTCATGAGGTCTCTTCCAACTCTATGATTCTATGATTCTATGAATGCTGTTTGACACCACTTTAACTGCCCTAGCTCAACGCTATGGAATCCTGGAATCTGTAGTTTGAGAAGGTTTTCCAACTTCTCTGCCAAAAGAAGGCTGGTGCCTCATGATACTACACATCGCAAGAATGCATAGCACTGAATCATGGCAGCTCAAGTGGTGTCAAACCGCATCAATCTTACAGTGTAGATGCACCCCAACTGTGGTACCTGTGGCACCCCACTCTCTACCAAAAGAAATGATCTACTTCACCAAGTGCATAGATTGCAGAGGCAGAGCTGAAACAATTCCTTTGTGCAACTCTCCCAAGAATGGACCCTTCTGCCTATCGTCCAATGAGGTAAATGCTGATGAACCCAGGGGCCAAGCACCAATGCTCCACCTACAGAAACAGGGCAGGTATAAAGACCCAAATCTTTGAGCACAGCCACCGGTGTGAGATCTTCTTTCCCTCCTCTAACGCTAAGGCCAACATCTGCTCACCTTGTTCCGGTTTCCCCTTGTTAGCCTGCTGTTAGTGGCCTGTTGCTCAGGTGGGAAGAGTTTATCTTTATCTCCAGACTACTCCTAAAATCAGGAGCATATTGAGTCTCATCCCGTCTTCAATTTTCTCTTTCCAGATTCGGACGCACAGCTCACTGTGTCCCAGCCAATGTCAGAGTCCGTGTCCCTGGGGAAGACAGTCAAACTGTCCTGTTCTGTAAACCCTGGAGGCAGAACTATATACTGGTACCAGCAGATGACGGGAAATGCACACCGGTTCCTCCTATATTATTATTAAGAATCCAACAAGGGCCAGGGCTCCGGGGTCCCCTCTCGTTTTTCTGGGTCCATGGCTGCTTCTGATAACATTGGCTACCTAACAATCTCCGGAGCCTTGGCAGAAGATGAGGCAGTCTATTATTGTGCAGCATGGGGCAGCAGTGTGTGTCACGGCATTGCCCCATGATAGGGAAGTCAAACAAAAACATTGTGCTTCTCCTCCAGGTGGAAGCAAAGCTATGAACTGTGTGCACCAGGGAGAGAAACACTGAAACCAAAAAAGTCACAAAAGATTGAGTCACATAACATGAGGTTATAAGAGTTCACATCTCTGCTATAAACATTAATGTTTTCCAAAGCTTATGATCACAATGCTGAGATTGTTGTGGGATCCTAGTGTTAGTGAGGTATTAGAAAGATGTGATGGAAATGGTAAAGTATGAACCCTCATTGCAATGGAACTAGAACAACACTCCCAACGATAGTTCAAAATGCATGGTGAATTTCTTCTAAATAAATCTTGCCAAGAATACCCTTGGAAAGCATCACCATCCACCAAAGGCACACCTGAACAACCACATGAACATGGGAGGCAGCACTTGTACAGGTAACTTGACCCCACAGCATCTACGACATGAAATGTAAGCCTGGGGGACCACATAATGTTGAAGCTTGGAGATGTTCCTTCTTTAGTACAACACCCAAAGTTCAATTCTAGGACAAAAGTTCTAAGGTGTTGTGATTGGGAAGTACCTTGGGAAGTCGGATCTGGCCACGGTGGTCCACGCTCTTGTCACATCCCGGTTGGATTACTGCAACGCACTCTACGTGGGGTTGCCTTTAAAGACTGCTCGGAAACTTCAATTAGTTCAGCGAGAAGCAGCCAGATTGCTCACCGGGGCGGCGTACAGGGAGCACACCACCCCCCTGTTGCGCCAGCTCCACTGGCTGCCGATCCAATTCCGAGCACAATTTAAAGTGCTGGTTTTGACCTATAAGACCCTATACGGTTCCGGCCCAGTGTATTTGTCCGAACGGATCTCCCTCTACGTCCCACCTCGAAGTTTAAGATCTTCTGGGGAGGCCCTGCTCTCGACCCCGCCAGTATCACAAGTGAGGCTGGCGGGGACGAGGAGCAGGGCCTTCTCAGTGGCGGCCCCCCGCCTGTGGAACGCACTCCCCGGGGAGATTAGATCGGCGACTTCCCTCCTAGCATTTAGGAAAAAACTAAAGACCTGGATATGGGACCAAGCTTTTGGCCACTCTGATAATTAAACCAAGGACCGGAGACAGACAATGACAAACGGAATAGAACGGATGTATGGACTCTGATATATGAACTCTGACATGAGATTGTTTTAGGATTTATGCTTTTATTATGTATTGTTGTTTAACTTAACTGTTGAATTTTATACTTTTGGATTACTTGTTGTGTGTTTTGGGCATCTAATTGTGCCCTTTATGTAAGCCGCCCTGAGTCCCCCCAGGGGTGAGAAGGGCGGGGTATAAGTGAATGAAATAAATAAATAATAAATAAATTGATCTTAGTCCTCTTTGACTGGCAGGAATTCTTTTCTGTTGACTGATGGCGGAGATTTTCTGAGAGAGTAATCTACTGACAGAATTACTCCCTTGGCTAAAATCTCCCTGTTGTAGGGCCTGAAAGGGGGACAGAGGACCTGAGGGAGGAACCATGTGAAGCCAGGTCCAAAACTCTCCCAGAAAGACACATTCAGAGGGCTGAGAAAGGAACAACAGTTGCGTTTGAAAGGGAAATGATTTGAATACTGGGGCTGGGTTACAAAACCCACACCTTTTAAGAACAAAGCCATATGGAGGGCAATTAGACTGAACTTTTCACCACTTTCTGAAGGATCAGCCACCCAGATTCTCACCATGCTTTGGATCTGCCTCCTTGTCCTCTTCGCTTACTGCTCAGGTAAGGTGAAATAGGTCATTTTTGAAATTATTGCTTTACAATGAAGAACTCCAACCATTGCAATCTGGCAGGGAAGTCCAAATCATCACTCTACTGTCCCACTTCTCTCATGTCCTCATTTCTCTCTTGTCTTCGCACTTTCTCTCTTTTTCCCAAGCAGAGCAGAACAGAGGAGAGGGTGAGATTTCACCCTTTCCAGTTGGCTCAGGGATGATAAAACTGTCTCTCCTAGCTGATCTTGTTCATCTTCTTTCATTCCTTTTGCCATCTTGACCACCCTCAGCAACACACGTTCAGCTATGAAAGATTGAGGTGGGAGGTACGAGAATGTTGACTGATTCTGAAATACTTCCTTCCTCAGGTACCTTGGGTCAATATGTGGTCTCTCAGCCACCATCCATATCTGTCTCTTTGGGGCAAAATGCCCAAATCACTTGCTCAGCAGATGACATCGGTAAGAAGTATGTGCACTGGTACCAACAGAAACCTGGCAAGGCCCCTGTCCTCATAATATATGAAGATAGCAAGCGGCCCTCGGAGACCCCGCACCGTTTCTCTGGCACCAACTCTGGCAACACGGCCACTTTAAGCATCACCCAAGCCCAAGCAGAAGATGAGGCAGATTATTACTGCCAGGTATGGGACAGCGACGCAGCTCACGGTGTTTCAAGCAGAGGAGGAAGTGAGACCAAAACCTCCTTCAGTAAAGACCACATCTTGCTTGTTTATTCTGCCAGGGCTGGATCGTGTCAGGAGAAGCCCAAGCTGAGGAGGAAGTGGCCTTTGCTGAGGAGGATGGACACCTCTGGATAGGAACAGATACACCTGTCCAGTCTGTTCTGTAGACTTCCCCAACGGCTCCGGCAAAATCAAACTGCAGCAGCCACTTCTTACTTGTGCCCTCTTCATTCAGAACTTTTTGTCACCTTGATGTTGCTTGGCCAATTGTTCTCTGTGAAAGATTATGAATATGATACATTGGAGGGTGTAATTGTGTCTTCTGCGTGGCAGATTGGGATTGGCCCGGATGGCCCTTAGAGGGCCCTTAGAGGTCTCTTCCAATCTATGATTCTATGAAACCCGTTTGCTGCTTCTACACTCCCAGCAAATCAAGCAATCCCACAAAACTGATTAATGAGCAGTAGTGCATCTCTGAAGAACCCACAACTCAGTGTCCAATAACTATACTCTGTGGACCAGTGTTTCTCAACCTTCCTAATACCACGGCCCCTTAATGCAGTTCCTCAGGCTGTGGTGACCCTCAACCATAAAATTATTTTTGTTGCTACTTCACAACTGTAATTTTGCTACTGTTATGAATTGTAATGCAAATATCTGATATGCAGGATGTATTTTCCAAATTTGGAACAAATTGGTGGTCTTTGGCGACCCCTCTGACACCCCCCCCCCCCCCATGACTCCCCTGGTGTCCTGACCCCCAGGTTGAGATGCTGTGGACTCTGGATGACGAAATGGCTGGAAAGCATCCCAAATCATGCAAAGAATGGGTTTTGATTCCTGGAAATCATCAAATGGCTTGAAACAAAGAATTCCTTGCTTTGGAATCGAGTGCCTAGCTGGTTCTTTCACATTTCTCCATCTAACCTTGGCTTGCTATGGTACTCACCATATCCCCCCCCCCCCTTATTTCTTTGCTTCTGCTGCCATCTTCAGGCTTCTCCTGAGAAGAAAAAGGCATCCAATCGCACACTTTTCCAAAATATAGAACTGGAAGTGCTGACAGTTCTTCTCAGAGACACTAGATGGGGATACATCCTAAGTTTTAGGGATTCTCAAAAGGCTTGTCCCGTTTTCACCCCCAGTCTGCCATGCCCATCAAATTCTCCTGTCAGAAAGCATCATGCTTTCATCGTTTTAATGAAGAATTTGAAAACATTAGGTCTATGATTAACATTAACCATAACTAAGCTGTTATAGCACAATGGTTCCACTTTAACTGCTATAACTGGCTCCTGTGGAATTCTGGAGTTGGTTGTTTAATGAGGCAAATGTGTAGCAAATGTGAAGTTCCATTTTCTATGGTTTGTACTATATTTTATACCTCTTTGCTATATATATTCCAATAAAGGCTTATTGGATTGGATTGGATTGGATTCATATTATTCGTGTATTTTTGGTGCTAGCCTTACACATATCTCTTCTGACTGAATTGTGAATAAACCTCTGTTGGTGCTTTCAACCTTGGTGAGTGTGCTTTTGATTGGGGGAAAATGTGGTTTAGCATAATGCTCGCCAGGCAGGACCCTTCATAATGAGGCCTAAGAGCCCTCTGTGAATTACATCCCAGGATTCTATAGGAGGCAGCCATAGCCATTGTAATGGAATAATACTGCTATAATGGTGTGGCGTAATATGGACCCATTAAGCTCATCCGCGACATTGTTCAGGAGGCAGCAACAAAGTACGTCCCAAAGAAAAAGAAAACCACAAAGGTAAAATGGTTGTCTCCTGAGACACTGGAAGTAGCCCAAGAAAGGAGGAAAGCAAAAAGAGTGATATGAGTAAATGCACAATTCCAGAGGTTAGCCAGAAGAGATAAGGGACTATTTTTAAAACAAGCAATGCATGGGAGTGGAAGAAGACAACAGAATAGGAAAGACAAGTGACCTCTTCCAGAAATTAGAAACATTGGAGGTAAATTTCAGGCAAAAATTGGCATGATAACAAACAAAGATGGCAGGGACTTAACAGAAGCTGAAGAGATCAAGAGAAGGTGGCGAGACTATACAGAAGATTTTTATGGGAAAGATAATAATATTGAGGATAGTTTTGGCGGTATGATGAGTGAATTAGAACCAGACATCCTGAGGAGTGAGGTTGAATGGGCCTTTAGAAAGAACTTGAAGACGTGGATATTCCAGTGTGCCTTCCCAGAATAAGGACTCCCAAGCAATATGTCCTAAATGTACATTATGAGAGAGTTAGTACTGTCTGCACGTCCACCTATTTAAAATACCCAACCTATTTCCCTGGACATGCCCAGCATTTTAAAATTTTAATTCTTACATTTGGCCCTGCCATAGGTTTTTAATTGCGTCTCATCATTATTGTATTGTTTTGCTTTGTTATGAGTTATTTATTGTTGTATTGTTGTTGTTATGTTTTATGATGTATTTGGGCTCGGCCTCTTGTAAGCCGCACCGAGTCCTGCGAGAGATGGTCGCGGGGCATAAATAAAGGATTATTATTATTATTATTATTATTATTATTATTATTATTATTAAGAAGCATGGCTAACAACAAGGCAGCAGGAGACGACGGGATCCCAGCTGAACTGTTCAAAATCTTGAAAGATGATGCTGTCAAGTTGATGCATGCCATATGCCAGCAAATATGGAAAACACAAGAATAGCGATCAGACTGGAAAAAATCAACTTATATTCCCGTACCAAAAAAGGGAAATGCAAAAGACTGCTCCAACTTCCGTACAGTGGCCCTTATTTCTCATGCCAGTAAGGTAATGCTCAAGATCCTGCAAGGAAGACTCCAGCAATACATGGAGCGAGAGTTGCCAGATGTTCAAACTGGGTTTAGAAAAGGCAGAGGAACGAGAGACCAGATTACCAATATCGGCTGGATAATGGAGAAAGGAAGGGAGTTCCAGAAAAACATCTATTTCTGTTTTATTGACTATTCTAAAGCCTTTGATTGTGTGGATCATAATAAATTGTGGCAAGTGCTTGGTGGTATGAGCATACCAAACCACCTTATGTCTCTCCTGAGGAATCTGTATAATGACCAAGTAGCAACAGTCAGAACTGACCATGGAACAACAGACTGGTTCAAGATTGGGAAAGGCGTACGGCAGGGTTGCATACTCTCACCCAACTTATTCAACTTGTATGCAGAATACATCATGTGATGAGCGGGGCTTGATGAATGCAAGGCTGGGGTAAAAATTGCTGGAAGAAACATTAACAACCTTAGATAAGCAGATGACACCACTTTGATGGCCGAAAGCGAGGAGGAGCTGAGGAGCCTTCTAATCAAGGTGAAAGAAGAAAGCGCAAAAGCTGGGTTGCAGCTAAACATTAAAAAAAAAAACAAGATTATGGCAACCAGACTGACTGATAATTGGCAAATAGAGGGAGAAAACATGGAGGCAGTGACAGACTTTGTATTTCTAGGTACAAAGATTACTGCAGACGGAGACTGCAGCCAGGAAATCAGGAGATGCTTACTTCTTGGGAGGAGAGCAATGTCTAATCTCGATAAAATAGTGAAGAGCAGAAATCACTCTGGCAACGAAGATCCACATAGTTAAAGCAATAGTATTCCCTGTAGTCACCTACGGATGTGAGAGCTGGACCATAGGGAGCTGAGCGAAGGAAGAGAGATGCTTTTGAACTGTGGTGCTGGAGGAAAGTTCTGAGAGTGCCTTGAACCGCGAGAAGATCCAACCAGTCCATACTTCAGGAAATAAAGCCCGCCTGGTCATTGGAGGGAAGGATATTAGAGGCAAAGATGAAGTACTTTGGCCACATCGTGAGAAGACAGGAAAGCTTAGAGAAGACAATGATGCTGAGGAAAATGGAAGGAAAAAGGAAGAGGGGCCAACCAAGGGCAAGATGGATGGATGGCATCCTTGAAGTGACTGGCTTGACTCTGAAGGAGCTGGGGGTGGTGACAGCCGACAGGAAGCTCTGGCGTGGGCTGGTCTATGAGGTCATGAAGAGTTGGAAGCGACTGAACGAATAAACAACAACAAAGCTCATCCTGGTTTGTTTTTTTAAAATCTGAGAGCACCTCTTTTAAAACAGAGTTCAGGGGTCACAAACACTTGGCAAAGCTGAAAGATGTCCCCCTCCCCTGGTGCTTTCCATCTCCTTCTTTTGCAATTGATTTTTTTGTGTGTCAGGAGCGACTTGAGAAACTGCAAGTTGCTTAAAGTGTGAGAGAATTGGCCGTCTGCAAGGATGTTATCCAGGTGAACAACTCTACAACTTCCAAAAATGAAGGTCAGTTCCCCCCAAACCCCTCCTGTATTTTCAGTTGGTCATGGTGGTTCTATGTGCCATGTTTGATTCAGTTCCATCGTCTGTGGGGTTCACAGTTTCTCTGGTTGTAGGTGAACTACAACTCCAAAAATCAAAGTGAATAGCTCCCAAACCCTTCCAGTATTCAAATTTGGGAGTATCAGGCATGTGTGCATCATCGTTTGGGATCATGGTGCTCTCTGGATGTAGGTGAACTAAAACTCCCCCAAATCAAGGTGAAGTCCCCCCCCCCCCAAAAAAAGCTCTCCGCTATATTTTTATTGGTCATGGCGGTTCTGTGTGCCAAGTTAGGTCCAGGTCCATCTTTGGTGGGATTCAAAGTGCTCTTTGATTGCAGGTGAATTTAAATCCCAGTAACAACAACATCCAAATGTCAAAGGAAATTTGTATTGCTCAAAAAGTCCATAAATGGTTTCCCAACTTTAGGAGAGTCTTCATTTGGCCTATCCTTTAAAACTGATTATGTGCCATTCACCGAAACCAGTGGATGTTCCAGTCCCATTATATAAAATGGCAGACAATTCAAACATGTGCCAGAAAGAGGCCACGGTAGCACAGTGGTTAAAGCTGCTAGCTGTAGGAAAGGCTGCTGACTGGAGGGTGAACAGTTCAAAACCACGAGTTAGGGTGAGCTCCCAACTGTCAGTCCTAGCTTCTGCCAACCTATCAGTTCGAAAGCATGCAATGTGGGTTGATCAATAGATACTGCCTTGGCGGGAAGGTAAAAGTGTTCCCCATGCAGACATGTGTCAAAAAGATTGGAGATTCTACGGACAGCAGGTTCCTAGGCATGGAAAATGGAACAAGAGCACCTTCCCATGGCTGGAAGTTAAGCATTGTATCCAGACGGGGAAAAAGAGAAAGGCCTTTACCTTATCTATGTATTGTATGTCATTGTCTGTGTGAAAAGGCATTTAATGTTTGCCTTATTTGTGTACTGTAATCCGCTCTGAGTCACTCTGGGGAGATAAAGTGGATTATAAATAAAGTGTATTATTATTATTATTATTATTATTAATTATTATTATTATTATTATAAAGAACCCGACAAACCCTGAAATAGCAGGAGGCTATAGGAGGGCATGCCTACACATCCTTGCAGTATTTGGCAAAAGGCAATAAAATAAATAACCCTAGAGGGTGGTGGCATTTTTGAGCCATGGTTGGTTGGATCTGAGGGTGCAGAACCCATGGATATGTAGGGTGTGCTCATCTTTTCCTAACCACAAATGGTATGCCTCAACAGATGTTTTATTCATTCTTGGCACAAACTGTAGAAAACAGCAGTGTTTCAGTTCCGTCGCACAGAGAGTGTAAAGTCTGATGACAAAACCAGCCCCCGATTTCAGAAAATGTCAGTTGGGCCCACGGAACGGATATGTGCTGAAGTGTTACCAGTTCTCCTCTGCTTTTGAAGTACAGGAGAAAGTACTTGTCGGATGTAGTGTTATGAATTTATGCTGTGGACCTTCTGGTGGATGACTTGTAAGCTTCTGGATACTTAGGAGGGAAAACCCTTGTGCCAAGATTGGAAGTCATCCAATGACTATAATGGATATATAGAATGGAGAGTCACAGAAAAGCAACAGGATATCAACTACTCTGTTAAGTCCATGGAATATGTCAAGTCAAATCTTTCCAAGGAAACCATGAGCAATGTTCTGGTAAGGAATAACATGTCAAATGGAATCTACAATAAGATATAGGTATTGAGGGGCATTTCTGGATACTACTCAGGACACCACCCTTTTTTTTCTTTAGACATGGTTTCCTATCTTTTGGGATCAATTGCGGCGTATGGTACTGACCATTTTGGGGGAGAATGGATATGGAAATCTTGTGGTTTCCCAGGCTTGTGCTTTTGCCTATGGATTACAACATTCTGGCTCTGCCGGCATTGGTCTTTGGAGATTTGGAATAACGTCTAGTACATACGATATTAAGCCACTGACGGTTGGAAAAAAATGGTCTGCTTGGGAAAACATTGTCTTTCTGCACCAAAGGCTATTTGGTTTCATTCCCAACCTTTCCAAATCTTTCTGAAAAGTGCCAGGAGTTGTTGTTACGCTGAATTGGTTTCTGGGAGAAATGGAGCTGCTCGATAGACTTCCCTCATTCATCTTCTGCTTTTTTTTCTTGGATACAATGAGCCATTTGCAACATTTCTTTCTTTGGAATGGAACTATTTGGAAATATCTAATGAAGCAGGATTTTACAGAAGTGCCTGCTCTTTTGAGCAGAACCACTACAGAAGAAGGATCGTGAAACAATAAGGCAGGTAAGAATCATCAAGTTGGAAGAGATCTCAAAAGACATCCAGTCCAAAGCCATTAACCATACCTAGTCATGTTGTTCATTATACACGGGAAGAGTGATGTGTCCACAGAATGGGCTCATGGATGGTGTGAGAGCCTTCATGCTTCAGGAATATCTAGAGAAAATGTCTATGGCAAAGCATACACTTGTGAGAATTTATTTATTTATTGTGCCAGAAGCAAATTGAAAATACTGTTATAATGCATACAAAAACCACAAAGTTAAAAGCTTGGCACTGAATAAATTTCCTTTGACCAGAAGCTGGCCACTTGGAGTGCCTCTGGTCCTCCATTGTGCATGTGGTGAGGCTCAGACTGCATTGTAGTCAGTGGTCAGTGGTTTGCTCTTCTCCATACTTGCATGTCGTGGACTCCACTTTGTGGCCCCATTTCTTAAGGTTAGCTTTGCATCTCATGGTGCTAGAGTGCAGCCTGTTCAGCGCCTTTCAGGTTGCCCAGTCTTCTGTGTGCCCAGGAGGGAGTTTCTCATCTGGTCTCGGCCACTGATTGAGGTTCTGGGTTTTAGCCTGCAACTTTTGGACTCTCACTTGCTGAGATGTCCCTGCGAGTATCTCTGGAGATTTTAGATTTTCTTGATTTAAGGCTTTGCCTTGCTGGCTGATATCCAAACAGAGGATGGGCCAGAGATGTCAATGCCTTGGTCGTTTCATTATAGGCTGCTACTTCCCAGCAGATGTCAGGTGGTGCAATACCAGCTAAACAGTATAATTTCTCCAGCGGCGTTGAGCGTAGACATCCTATGATAACGTGGCATGTCTCATTAAGAGCAACATCCACTGTTTTACCATGGTGAAGTGTATGCCACACTGGGCCTGCGTACTCAGCAGCAAAGTAGCAAAGCACAAGGGCAGATGTCTTCACTGTGTCTGGTTGTGATACCCAGGTTGTGCCAGTCAGCTTTTGTATGATATTATTTCTAGCACCCACTTTTTGCTTAAGTAGTGCCTCCTGTAGGTCAGAGCATGGTCCAGAGTAATCCCAGGCATTTGGTTGTGCTGCAATGCTCCACTGGGGTTCCTTCCCAGGTAATTCTCAGAGCTCGAGATGCCTGTCCATTCTTAAGGTGAAAAGCACACTTCTGCATTTTAGATGGATTAGGACTCACCTGGTTTTCTCTGTAATAGGCAATAAGAGCACCTAAAGGCTTGGAGAGCTTCTATTCAACCATCTCAAAGCTCCCTGCTTGAGTGGTGATGGCACAATTGTCAGCATAAATGAAACTCTCTGTCCCTTCTGCCAGTGGCTGGTCATTTGTTTAAATGTTAAACATTGATAGAGCAAGAACGCTCCCCTGAGGCGGGCCGTTCTTCCGTTTTCACCATCTGATTCTCTGCCCCTGTTTTGTAGCAGATTTCATATAAAGCGGGTGAGGTGGTCATCCTTTGTGATATTATATTTTGTGAGAATGTGTGTGTGACTTCAAGTCGCTTGTCAACTTATGCCTTCCCCATCCATTTCATAGCTTTGTCTTTAGGTCAGGAATCCTCAGATATGGTTTTGTCACTTCCTTCCTCTGCAATATCCCCTACAGCGCCTGGGATTCATTGGTGATCTGACTTTCCCAAAAAAAAAATTAGAGTGATGCTTACCTTTCATGACTGCCTAAGCAAATCTAGAATGGAGAGAGAGGAGGCTGAAATAAAATAAGTCAGAGTGAGACTTGTGAGAGAGTAAAATGATTAGAACAAAATAAAGTAACTCTTTCCCTGTTTGAGGTTCAAGGACATGGTTCTAGGTTAGAGAAATAAGTTGGCCACTAAGAGGTCTATTCCAGGCATGGGCAAACAGGCTGCTAAGAATTGTGGGAGTTGAAGTCCAAAACACCTGGAGGGCCCAAGTTTGCCCATGCCTGGAATATAACATTGATCCTGACTCACATCATAAATCTAGACGGACCCTTCTGGAAAAGTTGGAAACTTTACTTACAGATCTTTGAAAAAAATTGATAGACAAGGAGAAAAACTGTGATGGTTGTTTGAAGGCTTTCATGGCTGGAATAACTGAGTTGCTGTGAATTTTTTGGGCTGTATGAACATGTTTCAGTAGCATTCTCTCCTGACATTTTGGTTGCACCTGTGGCTGGTATCTTCAGGAGTTCTGTTGGCAGTGAGGCAACTGGAGTGTAGATATACCTGTGGAATGTCCAGGGTGAGAGGAAGAAATCTTGTCTGTTTAAAACAAATGTGAATGTTGTAATTAGTGATTTGAGTAATCATGAAGTTTGCAAAGTCAATCAATGGAGGTATCTCCATAGAGGTAGCCTGGCCTTTGTTGCCTGGAAATATCCTCTGTTTGGAATGTGTTAACTGGCACTTGATTGTTTGTTGTCTGGAGTTCCCCTGTTTCTGAGTGGTGTTCTTTATTTACTGTCTTGATTCTGGTGTTTTTTTAATACTGGTAACCAGATTTTGTCAATTTTATGGGTTCATCCTTTCTGTTAAAATTGTCCACATGCTTGTGGATTTCAATGGCTTCTCTGTGTAGTCTGACATGATGGTTTTCTGAGTGGTCCAGCATTTCTGTGTTCTCCAATAATATTTTGTGTCCAGGGACCTCATCACACTAGAGAATGGATCCAATTTCTGCCTCCTGTAGAATTCTGGGACTTGTAGTTTAGGGAGGGCAGGTCCTGTGCCTCACTAAACTACAAACCCCAGAATTCTGGGGTGGATCCATTCTTTATTGTCATGAGGCACACAGGTTGGTTTATCAGGTGCTCTGCTATGGCTGACTTCTCTGGTTGAATTAGTCTGCAGTGCTTTCAAGTTCTTTCTTGGTCAGACCACACCTGGATTATTGTGTCCAATTCTGGGCAAAGCAATGGAAGGGAGATGTTGACAAGCTGGAAGGTGTCCAGAGGAGGGCAACCAAAATGATCAAGGGTCTGGAGAACAAGCCCTATGAGGAATGGCTTAAAGAGCTTGACATGTTTAGCCTTCAGAAGTGAAGGCTGAGACATGATGACCATGCATAAATATGTGAGGGGAAAGCATGTTTAGCCTGAAGAAGAGAAGGTTGAGAGGAGATATGATAGCCATGTATAAATATGTGAGAGGAAGTCACAAGGAGGAGGGAGCAAGCTTGTTTTCTGCTGCCCCGGAGACTAGGACACGGAACAATGGCTTCAAAATACAGGAAAGGAGATTCCACCTGAACATTAGGGAAGAACTTCCTGTCTGTGAGAGCTGTTCAGCAATGGAACTCTCTACCTCGGAGTGTGGTGGAGGCTCCTTCTTTGGAGACTTTTAAGCAGAGGCTGGATGACCATCTGTTGGGAGTGCTTTAAATGCGATTTTCCTGTTTCTTGGCAAGGGGTTGGACTGCATGGCCCATGAGGCCTCTTACAACTCAATATTCTATGATTCTATGATCCGTGTCTGGGCAATGCTACTGCATTGGGTGGTCCCTATGTAGACTTGTCCACAGCTGTACAGTATACAGTAGATTCCTGCAGTGGTTAAAGGATCCCTCTTCTCCTTTGCTGAAAGTAGTATTGGTTGAATTTTTTGTGTGGGTCTGTAGATTGTTTGTAGGTTATGCTACTGGAACATGGCCATACAGACTGAAAAACTCACAGCAAGCCACTGCAATGGTGAAATGGTTGAGATGGAAGATGCTGCTTAAGCCCAAACCTATGGCGAGGACTGGAGAGGAATCTCTTTCTTTTACTGGTGAGCTGTGGATCCAACCCAGTGGATTATTCTCCATCAAATTGTGCCAGGGATTTCTTCACATTTTCTAACATTTGAATGACAAGGCATCAGATTCAACACCAGAGTGACATTTGGTCCAGAAAGCAGAACCAAACTTCCGGTGGGGATATTTTTTGTATGGCCATCAGTCACTGTGTGTATGTCTTTGGCGGTGGGACCAGCTTGACAATCCTAGGTAAGTCACTTTAAAATGCATCTACAATGATTTCCCACTGGTTTTTTGGTTGTTGCTTTGCTGTTTTTCCCGCCAGAACCCGTCTTTGTCTCCGGTGAGGAATCCTTGGCATGCCATGTTGAATTGTATTAAGAGATACTCTGCTTTGTCCTCATGAGCCAGGCTTGAACAAATCAAATGTTTGTGGGTTTTTTGTAAATTGTTTCTGTTTATTTCAATTAGGACTTAAATCCAAAGCTGCTTAAAACTTAAATCCAAAGCTCAAAAGTTTTGGGTGCCTGTTCATGTTTGTAAATCTTCTGCTTTCACAAAATGCTTGTATTTCACTATAGAAATGTTTGTAAAGGTTTTTCAATCCAGGCTTCTAAGCACTAAATGTGGCATTGGTGGTTTGACCGTCATTGATGAGTCGATTGACCTTTTTTTCCTTGAGAGAAAACTATTCAGGTAAAGAATCATAAAGCAAAGGATCATGTATGCATTGTATATCATGCACAGAATCTCATATATTTTGTTTTAGGGGGAAATAATATTTTATTCTTGCATAGGACATTCTCCCCAGCTACAGGATGAACTTAAAAAGTAGTGGCTAACAAAAACTGAAATAAGTAAATAGCGATTCAATGTACACTTATCTGAAAGGAAGTTTTGATAAGTCTCATGGGGTTTATTTCTGAAAGGAGAGGTAATGGAAATGTGTTTAAGAAAAATGTCTTAAACTACAATTGGGTCTTCATTCAGTAAGAGTTTTGGAAACTTGCTAATTGATTTGGTTGCTTTCAAGCTGTAACATCAATTTCCCAAGTCCTAATAAAAGATTCTGTAATCAATCGAGGTTATCAAATAATGGGTGATTGATTAGAATGACTTTTCCCATAAACTGAACTTTTTTCCTTGAAGCTAATAGCTTAAGAAAGACAACGGAGTAACGAAGCTGGAGTTAGAGTATGTTTTGTTGGTCAATAATGAATTGCCTTCAAAGTCATAGTCAGTCTATGAAGTAAAAAACATTTGAAATGTCAAAAGAAGTTTTGAACTGTTGTTTTTCCAACTTCATCACATTGCATTGTATCATTGTTGTAGACTCCAGCCAGCTTGGTCCGGTCCCAAAATACCCTACCCAGAAAGTCCCGGAATTTTCCAGTGTCATTTTGGAGATCTGGACTTGTTTCCAGAAAGTCTCTAATTTTGTTCTTTCTGATTTTATACCCATCTTTTTGGTCAGCTCCCAGGATGATCAGAGACTTTCTAGACCCAAGTTGGTTTCTTTTAACCCAGTATAAAATTGGATACATTGGGATCAAAATCTGGGACTTGTCAATTAGTTTGGATGCACCCCTATTAACTGTTCTCCTGGGGTTTTTTTGTCCCAAATATTTAATCAGATTTCTTTTTTCTCTGACTGCTGAGCACGGTCAGTCCTTGGTGTGCTTTTAGAGCAGTGGTTTCCAACCTTTTTTGACTAGGGACCACTTCACCAGGGACCACTTGAACAGGGACCACTTTGACCAGGAACCACTCTCCAACATTAGTATCACAAAGGTTACAAATCAGTTTTTGGTCAAATTTTGGTCATTTGGGGTGCTGATTCAGAAAATTGCATTGGATAGACCACATCAGCCAACACAATCTTCTACAGTTATTATTTCAGGTTGGATCCATACTTTGTCATGGAATCAATGGTTACTTAAGAGTCCCATGGATCTCAGTGGGGAAGGTGGAAGCATAGGCTTCCTTTTCTCCTATTAAATAATCAGAATACAAAGTGGTCTGGATCGTGACCCTTCTTAGAAGTTTCAAAGGTTCTCTGCATTTGTGCGAAAGGGTCTCTCCAGTTGGGTGCCTTGTCTATGCCTCATGGCAAAGGATTGCTAAAACCGGAGACAGAGGGGAGTCTTTAGATAAGTCATGGTGGATACGTCATGACTTATCTGGAAATGTATGAGTTTTAATTTTTAAAAAATAGTGGACTGAATCCTATTGTTACTCTCAATTAGAGTAGTCATTTGAATTCATGGAATGGCCCTAAATGTTAATTCACAATTCAACAATTAATTTAATGGGTGTATTATTGTTGGGACTAACTGATAGGATACAAGACCATTTTTTGTTAGATTTCAATTAGGCTTCATTCAAAGTAGTATTTTACTGTTAGATTGAATGTGTGTATGTATCAACTTCATAGAGATAGGGTCAAGTAATATTACTGTAACTGTAGCAGTGGAATATTGCTGACAGTATAACTCGGAAGATCTTGATTTTTCAAATAGATTAGGAGCCCTGTTATCACGTTATTGAGCAGTCCAATTGATTCCCTTGTGACATTATATCTGGAAGCCTCTGTCAAAAAACAATCCAACATGCCACCTTGGAAACACCATGGTTTAAATCATGCCTCATTAAATGTAGAGTAGACCCATCAAATCAATAGGATTTAGCTCTGTGTTTGGGTGATGTCAACTCATTATCCAACAATCGATTTGAGGTATCCTTTTGAGTAATTTGCTAGATTCCCCAGCATGACTCTATTACAACTTCCAGCTGAAGCACACCATATAATATCCTGAGGACCTAGAAATTTCCTAGCGAAGACAGGATGCAGGTAGGTGAAACTGCAAGTAGCAATCCCCTTGGCATGGGCTTTGTACTGTACTCAAATATTTTCACAGAAAGGAAACAAATATGATAAATTATGACAATGTTAAATTGTTATGTCTAGTAATCACCCACCAAAAATCTCTTTTATTTTATATTGGACTAAATTCGGTTTTAGTCCAAAATTTATTATTATTTATTATTTAAAACATTTATATTCCGCCCTTCTCACCCCAAAGGGAACTCAGGGCAGAGCACAACATATATACATCAAACATTCAATGCCAGAACATAAAATAAACTATAAATATACATAAACACTAAAATCCCCATTGGAATGGATTGAATGCATCTAATCTATTTGGAACCACAATTGACTTGGATGTCCAGTCTCCTCGGCATGACAAAATCTTAATGCATTGCATCAAAAAAAAAAAATCAGAAGCCATGTTATATGGGTAAAAGTAGTATAGTGACAAATAACATTTTGTAGAGTACTTGATCTTAATTTCAAACTGAAAACACGGCCCAACCAAAAAAAACATGTCTTGCTGTTTAGGCCTGCTTCTGTGGTTGTTTGGGGTACTGATTCAGAAAATGGCATTGGATAGACCGCATCAGATCTAGTTTCTTAGACAAGGTTATAATGATTTTCTATGGGTGAGAAGGTGGTGACTGTTATATGGCATACGTTCTGTATTTCCACAAGCTAGAGCTGATGGGGAAAAACTGGTGCCATTTTTTGAATCAGCAGATCAAATATACCCGGAAACGAAATTAACATTTGAGACACCAAAATGTGTGGTTGTTGGGGCTCATCATCAAGATGCTGAGGATGCTGGGGATTCTGCATCGGAGGATGAGGGGAATGATGGATTTTTCACTGAGTCTGTGTGTGATCAGGCTGAAACTCAGACAGAATTGCAGGCCATAGATCAGAGAGAAGTGCCAGTAGCTGCAGATGAGAGAGAAGAGATAGAGGATGTTTGAGAATCAGCCTTCTCAGCCTTCAGAAGATGGGGAGTTGCCCCATAATATGAGATTAGGCCTTCGCTTGGTGAGAGCAATCAAAACGTTAATTAGAAGGTTAGAAAGACTCCATGAGAAGCAGTCCTTGAAACCCTGGTGTCAAAGGGATAACCTCATGGCTTCTTGGTCAGGTTAAGTGATGTTTCCTGGTCTCTACAGAGCAGACAACATTACCATAAAATCAAGTTCATCTTCAACTCTCAAGTTTGCCTTTGTTCCTGAAAGAGTTTAGGAAAAGTTCCCGTTTTTGTGCTTATGGATTTATGCCTATGCTCTTGACTCCATGGATTTCACAAACCTTGCTATCTTGGACTATTGACCTTTGTATATTTCGACTGCTGATATTTCATAGCATCTTTTCTACTGTTTTTTGGGAAATGCCCATTTTCCCTTTTGTATATGCTTTTTGTAAATAAACTGCTATAGTTAGCTGCTACTGAACTCTGTGTAGTGCTGGGTGAAAAGGGGTTCCTGGGCTAGAGTGCAACAGTGGTGTCCAATGAGATGATCCAAACATGCAGGACGTGGTTGTGGGACCAGGCCTTTGGGCAATCTGACAACTAGATAAGGACAATCAGACGATTAGGACTGATAGGACTGACAATGTGGAATTGGAATTTGGACTATGAGATAGCGAACGCTGACCGTCTATGAGGAGTAATTGGGTTTGTATTGTTTGCATTGTTTTATTGCTTTATTGATTTTATGGTTGTAATGCAGGAATTGTTGTTTAACTGTTTAACTGTGTAACTGTTAATTGATGTTATTTTGTTTTACTACTGTTATGTGATGCTGGCATCGAATTGTGCCTTTGTAAGCCGCCCTGAGTCCCCTTTGGGGTGAGAAGGGCGGGGTAGAAGAAATCGAAATAAATAAATAAATAAATAAATAAATATCTCTCTCAAAAAAGGTCTACAGTCCCAGAATTTTTGCCACATATGTATGGATGTGTTTTCCATCCTAACTTTAGAGGTTATCTTGAACAGTTTTGTGGTGGGATTGTCTTACAATCTGATTGTGCTTCCTTCATGATACTTAACAGGTCATCATATTTTTACTCAGTTGGAGACTCACTTATCAACATTTCCCTTTGTTTTCCAGGTCAACCAATTGTCCCTCCTTCGGTGTCTGTCTTCCCTCCATCCCAGGAGGAGCTCAAGAGCAAGAACAAAGCCACCTTGGCCTGTCTGATGGATGGCTTTTACCCACGTGTTATCCAGGTTGAGTGGAAGGCCAATGACCGCACCATCTCTGCTGGAGTCGAGACCAGCACGCCAGTCAAACAGGGTGACAAATACGTGGCCAGCAGTTACTTGACTCTCAGTCGGTCTGAATGGGAAGCTAATGAGGAGTACACCTGCAAGGTTACCCATGAAAGCAAGGCCATTGAGAAGGTGGTCAGTCAATCGGCATGTTCTTAAATGGTGGATGTCTCAGTAGTTTGAAAGCTTCACTTGTAGTCCTCAGATCTCCATCTCAAAATAGAGTCATCCCATTTCCTCCCCCAATGCTAGTTTGGTTTCTCCTATGCTGTTTTCCTTCATCAGTTTTCTCCATGTCTCTACCTCATGGAAAGTCCTTTGTATCTGAACTCCTTTTAGCACATTAATAAAATGTAATATCCTTCACTTGTGATTTTCATTTACTCAATTATTGAAGAATATGTGATCATGAATAGATGTCTGCTGGACCATACGAGAGTACATTTCTAGTTTAGTGTCCCATTTCCCACAATAGTCAACCAAAAAATCCAAAGGACGTTGAGTGGAGCTTCACACATTCCTAGAAGACCTCCCCCACTTTGTACTGATAAAAAGAGTTTTTTCAAACAATAGAAATATGAAAGTTGAAGTTGCCCTACTGCCTATATGCAGACAAAGAAATAACAATTCTCCTTACTATGGGAGAATTTCACGGAACTTATCCAGAGTAGAAGTAGATGAACATGGAGTCACAGTGGTTTGGTTTCAGAAGCTTTCAAACATTGCTAAGAGTTTTTGTAATTATTGAAATGGGTCTCGAAACAGCTTTTGAGCACTAAGCATAAAAAGCAACAAAGGCCCATTAATACACAATTTCTATTTTTTCCCCTTGGGTTAAACCTGTACTTGTTATTCTCCTAGATATTTGCACAGCTTTCTACCACAGCCTCTCCTACCCTCTTTTGAAAGAAAAAAGTGGTAAGGAGAAGCAGAAATCTGTATGAGCAGAAAGTTGAGTATTGGGTTGGAAGTCACTAACAGAGGCATAAACCCCATTGGATTGTCCAACTAGAATAGATACATTGAACTGGTTGTCAAATGAGCAGTCAAAACTTTGATTCAGTGGGCCAACTCTAATTGGAGACTACCAAAAAGACTAGCCAATAGATTCAACAAATTCTCCACATTCCAAGGTCAACATGAATGAAGTCATTACAGGTTTGCTGCTAATTTTATTGTCATACTTCCCACTATTTCAGCTGAGCTTCTCCTGTTCAATGAACATATTTGGAATGGAGACTCTGGAGAGTGGTCAACAAAACCCAGCTATACATTTCAATCTGAACCACAAAACAAATGGTGACTTTTACAAGCAACCCACATTCCCACCACTCTGGTCCTTCTCATTTATTCTAAGAGTTCAGTCCCCATTTTTGCCTGAAGCCTACATATAAAGGGTGAAGCCATATGTGTGGTTGCTGAGCACTCATTCATTCATCGCAAAATGGTGTAGATCTTCTTCTCTTCTCTGGGGAATTTTTAGATGGGAATAAACTTCAGAATTGAAGTCAAAATTTGAGTCAAGTTCATCCCTGTTTCTTCTCTCCTTTATGTCCTGCAACTTTTCCAGACAAACAATGGAATATGAGCTGTGATACTGGAACACACCTAAGTTCATAATATCATTTTTCTAAAAAATAAAAATTGTGATTTTAATTAATCCAATTGTGACTCATTCTAAAATGGAGAGAAGAGTTGCACACACAATGAATTCAAATCATTTTGTGGTAACAACAGTTGTACAACAAATGCTGCTACCTGGCTGTCACTGAAGCTTGTTCTCAGCCCTTATATCAAGAAAAAAAAATACAGAAGTGCAAAAAGTGCACATTCCAAGGTCAACATGACTATGAGATTCTAGAAAAAGTACCAGTTTGTATCTTTGGAGACATAAAATAGCAGCTAGGGAAAGATTCCAGCATTGATGTTGGAATCATGGAATTAAATGATAAACCGTGGAAATCACAAAATGGGAGAAAGGTACCTTGCCTCTAGCCCAAGTAGAAGCATGCAATGGTGTCTGATCTCAAAAGAAGTATTCCATGTGTTGACTTATTTCTACAGTGGTTGTGATTTGTACCAGAGATTGTATGATCCACCATCCCACGGTCCTAACTCCATTGGCTATTTGTTTTTAGTAGCATGGTCCATATTACAGCAGTGAACTTTATGAAATACAACTATAACTAATGGCAAAGTATATTGTGTGGTTGCACTTTTTTAGGCCAACAAATAAGGATAAAATGCATCACACTAGCTTTTGAACCCCTGGCTTCTTCATGTTTGAAAGGGGAAACATGGAGGAGGACAAAAAGAGCATTCTTGGAGTCTCAGTCATCCTTGGAGTGTTTAAGGAATTTTTGTTGGAATATCCAATAGATATTAGGTTAGGTCACATTCCCAAGGCCATTAGGTGAGAAGGGAAGTGAAAGTAATATAATTGAAATTGCCTTCTCCATTGCCAACAACAAAATACTAGATCTGTCTGAATAACTTGAAGGCACAACAGCAATGGAGTAACAAAATGTATGTTCCTGGAAGAGACAAATGGTCATATGTGCATTTCATGGTCTTCTTCTGATAAGTCTACTTCCTATTTCCTTAGAAGTTCCTCATGCAATTTCATTGGATTCAGAATCACTCAACACAAAAATATCCAGGGATATATCAAATCCTCTTTCTGTGTAGTCAAAGCAGATCAAAGCTGTTTGAACTTTAGTCTTCCTTCCAATTTGAAAGAAGGATATATTTCACCCTAAGTTCTATCTGAAGTGAAATTGAATGGCAACTTTCCAAAGCCAGACATCGCATTCATAATTATATCAATACTAACTGCTTTCTCTAAGAGCTGAGATGCACACCAGCTAATAGGGAAGTCCATATTGACACAGCAAAGAGATGGTCCAGTGCCTTGAATTTAATTTATAAGAAACAATCTGGGTACACAGAAAGCCAACAAAGTCACCTGGGAGGCCACTTCGAAGAAGATGTTCCCTATCTACTAGACTTCAGAAGCTGTTAGGGCTACATTGATAATTCTGTAGCTTTAAATTAATAAATGATTACGTTCGCCATGCCTCTTCTATCGAATAATGGACCAGGGCGAGTGAATCTACATGGTGGATAGCTGAGATACATGCCTTCATCCATAGAATAATCACATAGGTATATCCCTTTTTTTCTTTCAAAGTTCAGACTTCAGAGTGGCGTGTTTGGAAATGGAAACCGTCCGAATTTTGCGCTTGTCCAACTGTCCTCTCTTATTCCATATGGAATAAATATTGGTGCCCATCATCTGCAGGTTTTTGTACAACTGTGTGTCACTGTGGTGGGTGTTCGGAGGAGGAACCCACATGACCGTCACCGGTAAGTCACCAAAATAACTGTATTCCTTTCCTCTCCTGTGAAAATATTGCATTTTATCATCTTTTTACCTTCTTTTCCCTTTCTGACTTCATATTGACCTTGTGGATTCCTACCTTAGATTGGGATGAATGTTTAAATCCTCGGCAAAGCAGGGTGTTCCAATGCCATTCTTCTTTCTCTCTTTCCACCGTTGAAGAAAACCTATTTCCTCTGCTTGGTTTAAGAGTCAAAACTTTTCATTACAAGAGTATTCTTTGAAAATCTGTCCTGTGGCTACATTCAACGTTTGGCATATTTGGTTAGATGTTAAAATAGAACAGTAAAGTGAATTTGGTATCTGGTGTTTCCATCAGCTAGTCAGTGGATCTACTTAGATTGTTTTTGACAGGGACTTTTCTCATTTATTTACTGTGTTTGTATGCCATCCTCCTCCCAAAGTGGGACTCAAAACAGCTTCCAAAACTATGGTTAAAAATTTATGATAAAAAAATGAAAACCTTTAAAACCACAAAAAGCTGACAGTTTTGCTTGTAGATCTGTTGATCCTGAGCAATAAGGTCATAATATACTTTCACGCTCTAGTTCTGTCTCTTTCATAGCCCAAATCTGATAAAAATTATGGTATTTGTGAAATAGTTTATGTCTTTCTTAACCATTTTTCCCTTCTGGAAAATAAAGAAAAAGTACAGCTATCTAACATAGTATAGTCTACTTCACTCATTTTGTGCTTACAGGAAGTAAAAAATAATAATTTAAACATTTTCTCCCCACTACGCAAAAGTTTTCAAACGTTGTGATTTTTTAAAAAAGCTATTTGAAGTTTGAGACTGACTCAGTGCAAAATTTGCACATGGCTTTTTAAAACCAGAAAACAGCAAAGAAAGCCACGTTTTGGGGACAGAAAAGGCTGTCTTCGGAGATATTATGCAAAAGTCACACTTTTTATGCAGGCAACACCAACTATCTGAAGAAATATTTTTCTGCACAAAATACCATTTTCTGTGCAGAAAAGCTATCTTCTGCACACACTCACAAATGTGGAAATTGTGCACAAGATAAATGAATTGTGCACAGAATTAAACAATGGGTTCAGGGCAATATTTCAATTGCATGGGAAGATGTGAAAGGATAGTTAAAACCAGTGTGGAGAAATAGTTAAGTGTCCTCTCCCTTATAAGTGAAAATTGGATACAAATTGGTCCTTCACTGTTTCTGATTGATTAACAGATTGATTGGTTTCTCTCTCTCTAAATATTATAACATTCCACCAAATGTCTTCCTCTTCGTGAATGATTATTCCCCTCCTGAAATATGTAAGGCGTCAGTAATGGGATTCTTGATGCCATATCTCTCAGTTATAAGAAAATATACATTTGAGAAAGTACCTATAATGATTCACTCAGGGGGATGTGTTCCAGTGTTTACTTGGTCCACCTTCAAACTACCTTCAACCCTTCATTTTCATGGCAGCAAGCCACCAGATCCCTGTGGGCTAAAGTGGGGAGAAGGGCTTCAGCCTCACAATAATCCTCACTTTCACCATGGGTCACCAATGAAGGAGACCTTTCTTGATCAACTCCCAGGACAAGCTCTAAACCACAGTACAATGTAGTGGCTTTGTTCAGGTCAATAGGATTACAGTGTTAAAGACAGTCATATGTATATAGCTAAAACAATCGGATGAAAGAAGGTTCTGATATTCCAAGGGTTGGGGCCCTAATAGAGGACAAAACACTATAATCTACCCATCACACATAAAATGTGTAACCCATTGAAATATTGAACTAAATTTGTTGCTTCGTTCCAGCTAAAGTAGACCATTTGAATCAAGTCTGGAAATAATGAGTAAAAGATATAAGAAAATCCCACTGATTCAGTCAGTTTGCTTTAATTAACAGTAACAATGGGGTTGAGGCTGTAGTTTGTCATTATTAGTTATGCCAAGCATCAATAATAAAGCATTCCTGCATGGAGGATCAGTATTCCTGCATGGCTATTCAGGGTCATGCTAGTGAGTACTTGGATGGGAGACCAGTAATGGATTCCCAGGCATTGTAGACTCTGTTTCAGAGGAGGGAACTGGCACAACCACCTCTGAATATTCTTGGCTCAAGAAAACTCTATGAAATTAATGTGGTTGCTGTAACAGCACAAGATTTGAAGGCATTTTCATCTGTACATGCATATCTAAAACTTGATGATATTTTGGTGGGATACTTTCCTCCTATCTATCTATCTACCTACCTACCTACCTACCTACCTACCTACCTACCTACCTTCTAACCTATCTATCTACATCAAGAAAAATGTACTCTTGCTAAGCATAAAATATAGTTTGTTCTGTTATTTGCCTGATGGACCTGCTATTTTTACATTAGGCAGAAACCATAAACCCAGAAAGTGTGGACAACATGCTGTGCAGCTTCATAATTTTGACTGGTTCCCAAATGAGATGCTTCGCCCTGACCTACTCAGCAGGGATGAAAAAGTCTGTCTGTTCAAGTCTTGTTGAACAGCAAATCCTACCATCTTTCACCATTGCCTTGAATGATTAAGTGTGATGGGAGCTAGGGTCCTACAATGTCCTGTGTGTCATTTCCTAACCCTGCTTTTCACCACACCATTTGATTTAGATCAGGTCTGCAAAACCTGTACCTCTCCAGGTGTTTTGGACTTTAACTCCCAGAATTCTTGACCATTGGATAAGCTGGTTAGTGCTCCTGGAAATTGGAGATCCAAACAACCTGCTTCTAATCTATTGATATATTCCTTCAGTTGAGAGAATTTTCTGATCATGATGATGACTGGAAGACATGATCCTGAATGGAGGACACGTTCTGGCGGGATCCCAGGATAGAAATCTAATTATTTTATGAACTCTATCATTATACTTCTATGGACATCCATTCATTATGAGATGGTTTCAGAATTAGTCATGCTTAGAACAGATTCCATGAAATCTAAAAGACTTCTGTTAGGTTTGATAAATTAAATCAATTTGGCTTTGATCACACCTTGAATCTCCTGCAAAATCTGATAAGCAATGTTCTTTCTTTTCTTCCAGGTCAGCCAGCTGCCCCTCCTTCGGTGTCTCTCTTCCCTCCATCCCAGGAAGAACTCAAGAGCAAGAACAAGGCCACCTTGGCCTGTCTGATGGATGGCTTTCACCCGGGTGTTGTCCAGGTTGAGTGGCTGGGTGATGGCCGCACCATCTCTACTGGTGTGGAGACCACCAAGCCTGTCAAACAAGGTGACAAGTATATCGCCAGCAGTTACCTGACTCTCAATCGTTCTGAATGGGAAGCCAATGAGAGTTACACCTGCAAGGTGACCCATGAAAGCAAGACCATTGAGAAGGTGGTCAGCCGGTCGGCATGTTCTTAAATGGTGGATTACTCAGTGGTGGCCCTTAGATCTCCATCTCCTATGAAGAATTTCTTCCTCCATTGGACCAAGTTATTCTCTAATTCCTACCTAATTCTAGCTTCATTGATAAAGGCTGGTCTTAGTCCACCATAGTTCTATACCCCACACCTTCCCCTTGCTTGTACTCCTTGGAACCACCTTTGTATGTTTACCCTCCTGTGATAGCTCATTAATAAAATTTGATATATGTCATTGGTTGTTTGTTTTTAAGTAGGTTAATAAGAAACTTAGACCATCAGAAGAGTTTTCTTGAACCAGACCAGAGGCTTGTTTTAGTCTAACATTCTGTTTTCAGCAATAGTTAACTAAGCCTAATGCAATAACAGTAAAGACTGATCCAAGGCATGCTGTTGCCTGAAAAAATGAGAAAGTAATGCCCCCTTCCCTCTAAAATAATTGGGATATAATAACCTCAGATTCAAATTATTTGGTCATATGATGAATAAAGAACCCTACAAGCATCTGCTCCCCCATTTATGGACACACACACATCTATTTGCAAACAAGTAACTACTAGCTTCCTGATCTTTTATAACCCTCCAATTCCCATCTCTGATTGATGGGAGGGAAGGAAGAAATGGAGGGAAAGACTATCTATAGTAGCTAGATGATCCAGCATGAACCCTTGAGATCTTCTTGAAAGACAGTGTTATGAGCATGCAATTAATGTAAGATGCCCTCAGAGGACAAAGAAACAAACAAATGAACCAGTACATCCCAACAGTTGGTTCAATTACTACTCCTAGAAACTTCCTAGAGAGATAACTCATACTTCTGGGAGGTAGGAGGTTGACGATAAACAGCAATTTGCTGAATCTAGAGGGGTCAGGGGTCACAAAACAGCCAAGGGGGCAGATGTAATCCCAGGATCCCATTCTGTCAACAGCCAAAGTTCATGAGAAGGTAGATCCTCATATTGAAATGCCAGTTGTGAATCCACATCTGCATAACCATTAATAGCAGCTGTTACTGAACTCTGAAAATGATCAATACACAGATATCAGTAATATTTCTCTCAGTGTACAATATATAGACTTAATCTTATTAATTCTTTCATTAACAATGGAGCCCCCAGTGGTGCAATAGGTTAAACCCTTGTGCTGGCAAGACTGCTGACTGGAAAATCAGCGGTTTGAATCCTGGGAGCAGGGTGAGCTCCTGTTTGTTAGCTCCAGCTTCTCATGTGGGGATACGAGAGAAGCCTCCCATAGGATGGTAAAACATCCAGGCATCCCCTGGATAACATCCTTGCAGGTGGACAATTCTTTTTCACCAGAAGGGACTTACAGTTTCTCAAGTTGCTCCTGACACGAAAAAAAAATCATTAACAGACATAAAAAATAATCTCACAATTCAAAACCAATCACTGTCATTTCCTAAAAGTCTAAGGCAGGTGTGCACACCTGTGATTCACCAGGTGTTGTGGACTTAAGCTCCCAGAATTCATGGCCATTGGACAAGCTGGCTAGGACTTCTGGGAGTTGGTGTCCCAAACAACCAGAGAGCCAGAGGTTACATAGGGCTGATCTAAGGAATAAGGGAAGATTATATTTGCTGTTGGAAGGAGAGCAAACGAGGGAGTTCCAAAGTCTGGGAAGAGCTATCAAGAAGGTCTTTCCCCCCTTGTTCCCTCCAAACGAACTTGAGACGGTGGTAGGGTAGAGGGAAAAACATCTCTTCCAATGATATTAGGGCTCAAACAAGTTCATAAAAGGAGGTGTGTTCCTTCAAATAGCCTGGACCCAAGCTCCTACTACATAGATTGAAAACATGAGGGAATCAGAGCCCTGGTGTCAGCTGCTGCTGAATCTACTAAGGAAACCGTGATATTATTGGACTACAAAATCCATGATAGGGTCAAACTCCACTTCAAAATGTCTAGGTCCCATGTAATATTAAGGAGATTATTTTCTACTGCCCTGTGGAGAATACACAACACAATGAAGCAAATTTTTTTTAAAAAAAATGCTCTATTGTAAATTAAATGTATTACTAGGTTTCCACACCAAAATAACAAAATCATTTTTAATCCACTAAGGTTGAATATATTAAGCATTCAGGCAAAACACTAATTAACTAAGGGAGTTCATTTTTACACACAACGTAATGAATCAGTGCATGAATCTGAACACAGACAAATCTGCAGAGTGCCATGTAAGACCTCTTTCAAAAAGTACGTTCCAACTTAGTTAGACTGTGAAAGTCATGAGCACGAGGTCTACAGTTCTCCTCAGTGGCTCCAGAAATAATGAAGAAAAGGTACCCACCTCCCAAGTAATGGCTATCACCCCTGGAACCCCTTGAAGGATCCAGGATCTTCATGGAACCCCTTAACGGAGCCGAGATGATAATGGAATCTCTTGAAGGATCTGAGATGTTCATGGAACTCATTGAAGTATCTGAGATGTTCATCAAACACCTTGAAGGATCGAAGATGTTCATGGAATCTCTTGAAGGATCTGAGATGATTATGGAATCCCTTGAAGGGTTGGGTATATTCATGGAACCCATGAAGGATCTGAGATGTTTATGGAACACCTTGAAGGATCCAGGATGTTCATGAATGGCCAACAGGACGTCATTTTCTGTATCCAGAGCTTAACCAAAGAGTAACATGATTTCTTCCAAAACACATAGTTTGCTCCAGATTCTGTGGAAAAGGGAAGTCCTTCATCCCAACAAAGCCCAATCTATTACTTTATGGGATAGATGTTGGCGGTCTCCATGTTCCTCTCTTTGGTATCCATCACATATCTATGCTGAGGAGGGTTGGGAGGTTTTTGTCCTGCTATGTGTCACTGTGGTTCGTCTTTGGAGATGGAACCCATCTGTCTGTCACTGGTAAGTCACCAAATTCATCATATTCTTGTCCGTCTGTGTGAAAATACTGTAACATTTCTATCTTTTTTGCCCTGTTATCTCCTTCTGGCTTTGTGTCAACTTCAGGGATCCTGTGATGACACCTCAAAGAGTAACACAATTTATTTGGCATAATGTGCCATGGGATACAGCTGATTTTATCACATACCCCTTGAATATGCCATGAAATTATTGGCTCTTTTTCTTGGTCTAATTGCAGTTCATATGATGTTGTTCAACATGCTCACTAACCATTTTATTGATAGAGGCAAACATTTCAAGAATGCAAGTTTGTGTTGTGATATTTCCAGGTACCCAACTTGATTGAATGTATTGATTACTGAGATGTCTGTGATTCAGTTGTCAGATTTCTCAGATAGAACAACTGGACTGTGTCCGTTCATGTGATGCATTGCTTGGGAATATGGGAATCTGAAGCAAGGAGCAATTGATCCACTTGAATTGGGAAACATAGCAAATGTTTCATAGCAAATGAATAAAATTGTACATGAAAGTCAATAAAATATATATGGGTCCAAGTTGGAGGAAGCATTATCCTATCAAACTCCAAAACCCAGTGCCTAAGAGGGACAAACTAGACCTGTGACATAACAAAGTAATTGCACATTAAACAATGATGGCAGTATGATCCCATTTGATTTTCATCAGGTCCATACTGGGATTTGAAGTTTGAGAAGGGATACATAGAGTGCTCTGGTGCTTCCTCTGACTATTGAAGCCCAGCATTCCCTAAGAAGTTACCATGTCAGTAAAAGTGGAGTCATAGTACTTTATTTGTAGTGTGAAAAGTCCCCTATTTCTTTCCCCCACATCTTTTAATTGCAACCAAGACAAAACGGGCTCTTATTTTTATATCCTATTGTATTGCCCAGTAATAAATATACTCCAGCTTGTCTAGTAATACATGTACTCCTATCTTGTCTATTTTAGTTCAAGACAAAGTCTCAGTCTATTTGGCTGCAGTAGCATAAATCAATTCTAGATTGCAATCTTACTCTGGATGCATCTACATTGTGGAATCTATGTAATTTGACACCATTTGAACTGCCAGGGCTCCATGCTATGGAACCCTGGGAGTTGTAGTTTTTCAAGGTCTTTCACCTTCTCTGTCCAAGAGTGTTGGTGCCTTACTATCTTACAAAACCTCCAAGTGTTTGAAGAATGGTTATGTTTCCCAAGTCCTTCACATTTTTGTACACATAGCCTGCTGCTGGGGATGATGGCAGTGCTCTGCTGCTGGGTTTATCATGAGTTTTCTATTTTGCTTGTTCGCAAGGGACAATCTCCATACCTTCTGTTGTTGTGTGCCTTCAAGTCATTTCCAGCATACAGCAACCCTACAGAGAGCCTATCGTGGGGGTTTCTTGACCGGAAGAATTTGACATTGCCTTCCTCTGTGGCCAAGAGATATGGCTTGATCAAAATCATGCAGTGGACTTCCTTGTCAGAATCTCCCAACCGGCCTCGGGTGTTATGTTCCAAAAGCATCTCCCCACATCTCAGCACTGGTTATTTATCATTCTTCCATGAAGAGCTTCGAGAGGATATCACTCTAATGACATCTGAATCCATGTTACAAGTTACTTGTTTGGTCTACTACATGTAAGGACCAGAAAACTAAAAGTGATCATTCTCTTCCATCTATGGGAAATGTCGGAGAAATGCAACTCCATTGGGATTATGGTTGTGATGTGATCAGTCTTGATATAGATAGACACACATTACAGACTTGCTACTAATCTACTGCTGTGATGACTTGAAGTTTCCTTCAGTTCAGAGCATCCCTTGAATAACGATGACTTGGTAAAAAAGGCAAACTTACTTGGACACCCTTTTTTCACATCCTTATATTCTGAAACAGGTCATGATCATGAATGGGGGACATGTTCTTCTAGTGGGGACCTAAGTTAGAATTTTAATAATTTTATGAATGCTATCATTACCTTTCTGTGGAGAGTGAGACCTGTCCATTATGAGATGGGTCCAGAGTTAGTCATGCTTAGAGCAGACTCCATGAAATCTAAAACACTTCAGTTAGGTTTGATAAATTAAATCCATTTGACTTGGATCACACCTCGAATCTCCTGCAAAATCTGATAAGCAATGTTCCTTCTTGACTTCCAGGTCAGCCAGCTGTCCCTCCTTCGGTGTCTCTCTTCCCTCCATCCCAGGAAGAGCTCAAGAGCAAGAACAAAGCCACCTTGGCCTGTCTGATGGATGGCTTTCACCCGGGTGTTGTCCAGGTTGAGTGGCTGGGTGATGGCCGCACCATCTCTACTGGTGTGGAGACCACCAAGCCTGTCAAACAGGGTGACAAGTATATCGCCAGCAGTTACCTGACTCTCAATCGTTCTGAATGGGAAGCCAATGAGAGTTACATCTGCAAGGTGACCCATGAAAGCAAGACCATTGAGAAGGTGGTCAGCCGGTCGGCATGTTCTTAAATGATGGATGTCTCAGTGGTGGCCCTAAGATCTCTATCTCCCAGGAACACATGCTTCCTCCATGGGGCCAAGTTATTCTCCAGTTCCCACTTAATTCTAGCTTTATTGATAAAGGCTGGTCTCTGTGCAACATAGTTGATTACCCCACAACTTCCCCTTACTTGTACTCCTTGGAACCACCTTTGTATGTTTACCTTCCTGTGATAACTCATTAATAAAAATTGATATATGTCATTGGTTGTTTGTTTTTTTTAAGTAGGTTAATAAGAAACTTAGGCCATCAGAAGAGTTTTCTTGATTCAGATCAGAGGCTTGTTTTTTAGGCTAACATTCTGTTTTCAGCAATAGCTAACCAAGCCAAATGCAACAACAGCCAAGACTGGGCTGATCCAAGGCATGCTGTTGCCTGAAACAAATGGGAAAAGAATGCCTCCTTCCCTCTAAAATAATGTGATATAATAACTATTTGGTCATATGATGAAAACACCATACAAGCATCTGGTCCCCCATTTGAGACACACACACACATACACACAGACAATTGCAGACAAATAACTCCTGGCTTCCTGGTCTTTTCTAACCCTGCAATTCTCACCTCTGATTGATGGGAGGAAAAGAAGAAATGGAGGAAAGGACCATCCATGGTAGATAGATGACCCAGGATAAATCCCTGACGCCTTCTTGAAAGACAGGCTTATGAACATGTAACTATTGTAAGATGCCCTCAGAGGACAAAAAACAAGCAAATGAACCAAAACGTCACAACTGAAGGTCCAATTTCTACTCCAAGAAGCTTACTAAAGAGATAGCTCACATTTGTGGGAGGTAGGTGGTAGACATTAAATGGCAATTTGATGGATGTAGATGGGCCAAAGTGTCTCAAAAACATTTAATCCTAGGATCTGACTCTGGCCACAGTCAAAGTATGCATTCAGGAGGAGGTAGATCATGATCATGGACACCAGCATTTACTGAACTTTAAACATATCACACTGGGAGACCAGACATGCAGTGCATGGATGATGATGATGATGATGATGATGATTATTATTATTATTATTATTATTATTATTATTTTATTCATTCATAGCCTACCCTTTTCCCATTACTGAGACTCACGATGAATTACAAATTATTGAAATAATTACATAGTTTACAAACCTACACCGATATAAGTAATATTTTTCAATATATAAAAATAAAATTGATATCATTTAATTCATTTATTAACAGGCAAAATATAAAAATAATGTCACCTTTCAAAATCCATCACAGTAATTTCATAAAAGTCTAAGGTAGGTCTGCACAATCTATGACCCTACAGGTGTTTTGGATTTCAGCTCCCTGAATTCATGACTATTGGACAAACTGGTTAGAGCTTCTGGGAGTTTGAGTCCCAAACAACTGGAGGACCGCAGGTTGTGTTGGGCTGGTCAAAGGGAATATGTAAGGTTTTCTTTGATGTTGGAAGGAGGGCAAGGGAAAGAGTTCTGGGAGCAGTTCTTCCTTGTTCCCTCTAAATAAACTTGTGAAGGTGGTGGGACAGAGAGAAACACCTTTCCCAGTGATATTAGGGCTCAAACAAGTTCAGAAAAGGAGGCACAATCTTTCAAATAGCCCGGATCCAAGTTCTACTTTGACCAACCTGAGCTTCATAGATTGAAAGCATGAGGGAATCAGAGCACTGCGGTCAGCTGCTGCTGAATCTATGAAGGAAGCAGTCATATTATTGGATCACAAAATCCATGGTAGGGTCAAACTCCACTTCAAAAATGTCCAGGTGCCATGTAATATCAAGGAAAATGTTTTCTATAGCCCTTTGGAGAATACACAATACAGTGAAGCATAGTCAATATGTTCTATGCTCTCCAGATTAGCATATAATGGGTTTTTTTAAATCAGTGAAACCACATTTCTCCCTTCCAGCTCTATTGTTAACGAAATTCATTGCTAAATTTTCACACAAAAATATCAAAATCATTTTTAACCCATTAAGGTTGAATATGGCTCGCATTGGATGGCTTCTATTCAGGGAAGCCATTCATTAACTAAGGGGGTTGATTTTTACACACAACACAGTTATACCAGTGCATTGAGATTATAGGAATCTGAACATAGACAAATCTGCAGAGTGCCATGTAAGACCTCTTTCAAAAACTACATTCCACCTTAGCTAGATTATGGAAGACATGTGCACCAGGACTACAGTTATCCTCAATGGCTCCAGGAGTAATGACAAAAGACATCCTTTTTTAACAGGTGCCCTCCACCCAAGTAGTGACCATCAACCATGGAACCCCTTGAAGGATCTGAGATGTTCATGGAACCCATTGAAGGATCTGAAATATTTGTGGAACACCTTGAAGGATCTGAGATGTCTATGGAACCCCTTGAAAGGTCAGATATATTCATGGAGCCCCCTGAAGGATCTGAGATGTTCATAGAACCCTTTGAAGGATCAAAATGTTCATGAATGACCAACAGAACTTCATTTTCCAGATCCAGAGCTTAACTAAAGTATAAAACGAGTTCTTCCAAAACAGATACTTTGCTGCAGATTCTGTGGCAAAGGGAAGTTCTTCATCTCAACGAAACCCAAGAGTTTGCGAGCTACTGTCCATCTATTCCCTTACGGGATAGACGATGGTGGTCTCCGTGTTCCTATCTATGCTGACCTATCTATGCTGAGGAGGGTTGGGAGGTTTTTGTCCTGCTATGTGTCACTGTGGTACATCTTTGGAGGTGGAACCCATCTGACTATCACTGGTAAGTCACCAAATTCATCATCTTCTTGTCCTTCTGTGTAAAAATATTGTAAAATTTCCATCTTTTTTGCCTGTTATCTCCTTCTGGCTTTGTGTCAACTTCAGGGATCCTGTGATGACACCTCAAGGAGTAACACAATTTATTTGGCATAAATTGCAACAGGCTGATTTTATCACATGTCCCTTGAATATGAAATGAAGTTATTGATTCTTTTTCTTGGTCTAATTGGGGTTCATGCTATGTTGTTCAACAGGCTCTCTAACCATTTTATTGATAGAGGTAAAGTATTACAAGAATGCAAGTTTGTGTTGCAATATTTCCAGGTACCAAACTTGATTGAATTTATTGCTTGTTGAGATATCCATGATTCAGTTGTCAGATCTCTCAGATAGGACAACTGGGCTGTGTCCATTCATGTGATGCATTGCTGGGAACTTGGTAATCTGAAGCAAGGCACTCTTGATCCACTTGAATGGGGAAACATAGCAAATGTCTTTAAAAATAGGTAAGAGCAAAAGGTGCTAAATTGTACATGGAAGTCAACTTCTGAATGACATTTCAGAGTTACAAAATTTTATATGGGTCCAAGCTGGAGGTAAACTCCAAAACCCAGTGCCTAAGTGGGTCAAACTAGACCTGTGAGATAACAAAGTGCAGTAATTGCACATTATGCAATTATGGCATTATCATCCCATTTGACTTGCAAAGGATCCATTCTGGGATTTGACGTTGGAGGGGGGATACATAGAGAGCTCTATTTCTTCCTCTGACTATAGAAGCCCAGCATTCCATAACAAGTTACCATGACAGTTAAAGTGGAATCATAGTACTGTATTTGTAGTGTGAAAAGTCCTCTATTTCTTGACTTGATCTTTTCCCACACAACTTTTAATTGCAACCAAGACACAGCAAGTACTTTTTAAAAATGATTGGATTGTCCAGTAATGCATGTACTCCTATCTTGTCTATGTTAGTTCTAGACAATGCTATCAGTCTATTGGGTTACAGTAGCATATCACAAGTGAGGTTGGCGGGGACGAGGAGCAGGGCCTTCTCGGTGGTGGCCCCTCACCGGTGGAATTCACTCCCCGGGGAAATTAGATCATCGACATCCCTCCTTTCCTTTAGAAGGAAATTAAAAACATGGATTTGGGACCAGGCGTTTGGGTAATCTGGCAGATAAATAAAGGACAATGACAACTGATAGGAATGGACAATGTGGAACGAATTTATGGACTCTGAGCTGGCGAACGTTGAGCATGAGATTGGTTTTATTGACTGTGATATATAATTGATTGTTTTTAACTGTTATAACTGTTTTAATTGCTGTTTATATATGTTTATCTGTATTATTGTGTAGGCATCGAATTGTGCCCTGAGTCCCCCCTCGGGGGTTGAGAAGGGCAGGGCAGAAATACGCAAAATAAATAAATAAATAAATAAATCAGTTTTAGACCATAACCTGACTCCGGATGCATCTACATTGCAGAATTTATGTAATTTGACACCACTTGAATTTCCAGGGCTCCATGCTCTGGAACCCTGGGAGGTGTAGTTTTTCAAGGTCTTTCACCTTCTCTGTCCAAGAGTGTTGGTGCCTTACTACCTTACAAAACCTCCTTAGTGTTTGAAGAATTGTTATGTTCTTCACATTTTTGTACTCATAGCCTGCTGAAGGGGATGATGGCACTGCTCTGCTGCTGGGTTTATCATGGGCTTTATATTCTGCTTGTTCGCAAGGGACAATCGCCCTACCTTCTGTTGTTGTGTGCCTTCAAGTCATTTCTAGCATACACCTACCCTATGGAGAGCCTAGCATGGAGGTTTCTTGACCAGAGAAATTTGTCATTGCCTTCCCGTGTGGCCAAGAGATATTGCCTAACCAAGATCATGCAGTGGACTTCCTTGCCAGAATCCCCCATGAGGAGTTATGTTCCAAAAGCATCTCTCCCCTCAACCCCCATATCAGCACTGGTTATTTATGGTTCTTCTGTGAATAGGTTAGAGAGGATATCAGTCTAATGTCATATGAATGCATATCACTAATTACTTTCTTGCTCTGGTAAATGTAAAAAACATGTCTTAGAAGAGACCACCTGAGGAACCTTTTGGACAGTGATCATTTCACAATATCCAGATTGATAGAAACGAGGCATTTATTTAATTAGAAAACTCAAAATGAGTACTTACTAATGATATTACTATTTTGGGAGGACCAGAAAACTAAAAGTGATCATTCTCTTCCATATATGGGAAATGTAGAAGAAATGCAACTCAATTAAGATTAAGGTTGTGGTGTGATGAGTCTTGATTTAGATACACACTCATTACAGACTTGCTACTAACCTACTGCTGTGATGAATGGAGGTTTCTTTCAGTTCAGAGCATCCCCTAAATGATGATGACTTGGTACAAAAGGCAAACTTACTTGGACATCCTTTTTTGACATTCTAATATTCTGAAACGGGTTATGATCATGAATGGAGGATGTGTTCTTCTGGTGAAATTGCAGGATAGGATTCTAATAATGGAGAACCTTTCATTATGAGATGGGTCCAGAGTTAGTCATGCTTAGAGCAGATTCCATGAAATCTAAAACACTTCAGTTAGGTTTGATAAATTAAATCTGATTGACTTGGATCACACCTTGAATCTCCTGCAAAGTCTGATAAGCAATATTTCTTCATTTCTTCCAGGCCAGCCAGCTGTCCCTCCTTCGGTGTCTCTCTTCCCTCCATCCCAGGAAGAGCTCCAGAGCAAGAACAAAGCCACCTTGGCCTGTCTGATGGATGGCTTTCACCCGGGTGTTGTCCAGGTTGAGTGGCTGGGTGATGGCCGCACCATCTCTACTGGTGTGGAGACCACCAAGCCTGTCAAACAAGGTGACAAGTATATCGCCAGCAGTTACCTGACTCTCAATCGTTCTGAATGGGAAGCCAATGAGAGTTACACCTGCAAGGTGACCCATGAAAGCAAGACCATTGAGAAGGTGGTCAGCCGGTCGGCATGTTCTTAAATGGTGGATTACTCAGTGGTGGCCCTTAGATCTCCATCTCCTATGAAGAATTTCTTCCTCCATTGGACCAAGTTATTCTCTAATTCCTACCTAATTCTAGCTTCATTGATAAAGGCTGGTCTTAGTCCACCATAGTTCTATACCCCACACCTTCCCCTTGCTTGTACTTCCTGGAACCAACTTTGTATGTTTAGCTCATTAATAAAATTTGATATATGTCATTGGTTGTTTGTTTTTAAGTAGGTTATTAAGAAACTTAGACCATCGAGAGAGTACTCTTGGATCAGGCCAGAGGCTTGTTTTAGTCTAACATTCTGTTTTCAGCAATAGCTAACGAAGTCTAATGCAACAACAGTCAAGACTGGGCTGATCCAAGTTATGCTGTTGCCTGAGACAAATGAGAAAAGAATGCCTCCTTTTCTCTAAAATAATGGGATATAATGACCTCAGATTCAGACCATTTGGACATATGATGAAAAAGAACCCTATAACCACCTGTTCCCTCATATATATATACACACACAAACATAATTGCAAAGAAATAACTACTGGCTTTCTGATATTTTCTAACCCTCCAATTCAAACCCCTGACTGATGGGAGGGAAACAAGAAAGGGAAGGAAGGGCCATCCATGGTTGCTAGATGACCCAGCATGAACCCCTGATGTCTTCTTCAAATACAGGGTTATGAGCATGCAATTATTATAAAATGCCCTCAGATGACAAAGAAACAAACAAATGAACCAGTACATTCCAACCATTGGTCCAATTGCTACTCCTAGAAACTTCCTAGAGAGACAACTCCTACTTCTGGGAGGTAAGAGGTTGATGATAAACAGTAATTTGGTCAATATAGGGGGGTCAAGTGTCGCAAAAACAGCCAAGGGGACACATGTAAGCCTAGGATCCTATTCTGCTAACAGCCAAGTTTCATGAGAAGATAGATCCCCATATGAACATGCCAGTTGTGAATCCACATCTTCATAGCCATTAATAGCAGCTATTGCTGAACTCTGAAAGTGGTCCCTACACAGATATCAGTAATATTTCTTTCAATGTACAATATATAGACTTAATATCATTAATTCATTCATTAACAAGATATAACAATAATCTCACCATTCAAAACCCATCACAATAATTTTCCAAAAGTCTAAGGCCATCTGCACAACCTGTGGCTCCCCAGGTGTTTCAGACTTAAAATCCCAGAAGCCCTAGCCACTGAACAAACTGGCTAGGGCTTCTGGGAGTTGGGAGTTTTAACAACTGGAGGGCCACAGGTTGTGCTGGTCTGGTCTAAGGGAATATGAAAGGTTTTCTTTGCTGTTGGAAGGTAAGCAAGGGAGAGAGTTCCAAAGTCTGAGGGAGACTATGAAGAAGGCCTTCTTCCTTGTTCCCTCTAAACAAACTTGAGAAGGTGGTGGGACAGAGAGAAACACCTCTCCCGATGATATTACAGCTCAGAGAAGTTCAGAAAAGGAGGCACAGTCCTTCGAATAACCTGGACTAAAGTTTTTACTTTGGCCAACCTGAGCTGCATATGAGGGAATCAGAGCACTGTGGTCAACTTCCACTGAGTCTACTAAGGAAGCAGTCATATTACTGGACTACAAGAACCATGATAGGGTCAAACTCCACTTCAAAAATGTCCAAGTCCCGTGTAATATCAAGGAAAATGTTTTTGATTGCCCTTTGGATAAAACACAACACAATGAAGCAAAGTAAAATGTTCTATGCTCTACAGATTAGCATATAATTTTTTTTTCAGTGAAACCATATTTCTCTGTCCAAGCTCTATTGTAAACAAAATTCATTGGTAGGTTTTCACACCAAAATATCAAAATCATTTTCAATCCAGGTTGAATATACTGTTCAGGCAAGCCATCCGTTAACTAAGGGGGTTCATTTTTACACACAACACAATAATCCAGTGCATTGAGGTTATATGAATCTGAACACAGAAAGATCTGCAGAGTGCCATGTAAACCTCTTTCAAAAACTACGTTCCACCTTAGCCAGATTGTGAAAAACATGAACACCAGGTCTACAGTTCTCCTCAGTGTCTCCAGAAATAACGAACAAAAGGCATCCTTTTTTAACAGGTGCCCTCCACCCAAGTAGTAAGCATCATCCATGGAACCACTTAAAGGATCTGAGATCCTTTAAAGGATCTGAGATCCCTTCAAGGATCGGAGATGTTCACAGAACCCCTTGAAGGATCTGAGATGTTGAGGGAACCCCTTGAAGGATCAGATATATTCATGGAATACCTTGAAGGATCTGAGATGTTCATGGAATTCCTGAAGGATCTGAGAAATTCATAGAACTTTCTGAAGGATCAAAATGTTCATGAATGACCAACAGGACTTCATTTTCCAGATCCAGAATTTAACCAAAGCAGACCATGCTTTCCTCCAAAACACATCGTTCACTCCAGATTCTGTGGAAAAGGGACGTTCTTCATCCCAACTAAACCCAAGTGTTTGCGAGCTAATGTCCATCTATTCCCTTATGGGATAAATGTTAGTGGTCTCCAATTATCTCAGGTAGGTATCCATGACCTATCTATGCCAAGGAGGGTTGGGAGGTTTTTGTCCTGCAATGTGTCACTGTGGTACGTCTTTGGAGGTGGAACCCATTTGACCGTCACTGGTAAGTCACCAAATTCATCATATTCTTGTCTTTCTGTGTAAAAAATATTGTAACATTTCCATCTTTTTTGCCTTTTTATTTCCTCCTGGCTTTGTGTCAACTTCAGGGATCCCGTGATGACACCTTAAAGAATAAGGCAAATTATTTGATATAAAGTGCCACCGGCTGCAACTGATTTTATCACATGCCCCTTTGATATGCCATGATTTTAATTGTTCTTTTTCTTGACCTAACTGAGGTTCATGTGATGTTGTTCAACATGCTATCTAACCATTTAATTCATAGAGGCAAAATATTGCAAGAACAACAGTTTGTGTCACAGTATTTCCAGGTGGCCAACTTGAATGAATATATGATTATTGAGATGTTCATGATCCAGTTGTCATATCTCTGAGATAGAATAACTGGACTGTGTCCATTTGTTTGATACATATTTGAGAAAGTGTGAATCTGAAGCAAGGAGCTCTTGATCCACTTGAATGATGAAAAATAGCAGATGTATTTAAAATAGGCAATGAACAAAAATTGTACATGAAAGTCAACAAAGTCTTATATGTGTCCAAGTTGGAGCATTGTTCTATCAAACTCCAAAACTCAGTGCCTAAATGGGTCAAACCAGACCTTTGACATAACAAAGTAATTGAACATTACACAATAATGGCACTATGCTCCCATTTGACTTGCCACGGTTCCATTCTGGGATTTGAAGTTGGAGGAGGGATACATAGAGAGCTCTAGTGCTTCCCCTGACTATAGAAGCCCAGGATTCCATAAGAAGTTACCATGGCAGTAAAAGTGGGGTCATAGTGCTGCAATTGTGGTGTGAAAAGTCCCCTATTTCTTGACCTGATGCTTTTCCCCACATCTTTTAATTGCAACCAAGACCAAATGGGCTCTTATTTTTTATATCCTATTGTATTGCCCAGTAATAAATATACTCCAGCTTGCCTAGTAATACATGTACTCCTATATTGTCTATTTTAGTTCTAGACAAAGCCTCAGTCTATTTGGTTACAGTAGCATAAATCAATTCTAGATTGCAATCTTACTCTAGGTTCATCTCCATTGTGTAATCTATGCAATTTGACACCACTTGAACTGCCAGGGCTTCACCTTCACTGTCCAAGAGTGTTTGTGCCTTACTACCTTACAAAACCTCCAAGCAGGCCCGTAGCCAGGATTTCGTTTCGGGGGGGCTGAATTTTTTTCAGGAGGGGTTTCGGGGGGGCTGAGTTTCGGGGGGGGGGGGCTGAGTCTGAGTGAAAGAGGGTCTAGCCTAGCAAACCTTTTGTATCATTACCCCAATATCCCCATGCATATGGGATATATTGAGTATGGTGATCAGATCATGATATGAATGAACATAACAGTTTAAATAATGCACCAGTAAGGCCTTTTCGCGAACCACCATGAGAACCCCCCGAGCGCCCCCCCCCCTGCTACATGCCTGCCTCCAAGTGTTTGAAGAACGGTTATGATTCCCAAGTCCTTCATATTTTCGTATTCATAGCCTGCTGCTGGGGATGATGGCAGTGCTCTGCTGCTGGGCTTATCATGGGTTTTCTATTCCGCTTGTTCTCAAGGGACAGCCTCCCTATCTTCTGTTGTTGTGTGCCTTCAAGTCATTTCTAGCATACAGCTACCCTATGGAGAGCCTAGTATGGAGGTTTCTTCACCAGAGCAATTTGTCATTGACTTCCCGTGTGGCCTGGCCAAGAGATATGGCCTAACCAAGATCATGCAGTGGACTTCCTTGCCAGAATCCCCCAGCTGGCATGAGGAGTTATGTTCCAAAAGCATCTCCCCCAATCTCAGCATTGGTTATTTAGGGTTCTTCCATGAAGAGCTTAGAGAGGATATCACTCTAGTAGATGAAAAATACATGTCTTGGAAGAGACCGAATAGGGAATCTTTTGAGCCATGATAATTTCTGAATGCTGAGATGGATACAAATGATGCATTTGCTTAATTAGAAAATTCAAAATGGGTACTATCTCTTAACAATGCTGTTTCTGCCTTTTGCTGACCAGAAACCTATAGTTGAGCATTTTCCTGCATTTATGGGAAACGAAGTTAGTCATTCAACTCCACTGATATGAAGATTCTTGCACGATGAGTGTGTATTTAGCCACACACACACATTGCAGACTTGCTACTAATCTACTACTGTGATGACTGGAGTTCTCTTTCAGTTCAGAGCATCCCCTGAATGATGATGACTTGGTACAAAAGGCAAACTTACTTGGGTACCCTATTTTGACATTCTAATATTCTGAAACAGTTTATAATCATCAATAGAGGATATGTTCTTCTGGTGGGAAACCAGGATAGGATTCCAATTATTGTATGAACTCTACCATTATACTTTTATGGCCATCCTTTTATTATGAGATGGGACCAGAGTTTGTCATGCTTAGAGCAGACTCCATGAAATCTAAAACACTTCAATTATGTTTGATAAGTTAAATCCATTTCACTTGGACCACTCCTTGAATCTCCTGCAAATTCTGATAACCAATGTTCCTTCTTGACTTCCAGGTCAACCAGCTGTCCCTCCTTCGGTGTCTCTCTTCCCTCCATCCCAGGAAGAGCTCAAGAGCAAGAACAAAGCCACCTTGGCCTGTCTGATGGATGGCTTTCACCCGGGTGTTGTCCAGGTTGAATGGCTGGGTGATGGCCTCACCATCTCTTCTGGTGTGGAGACCACCAAGCCTGTCAAACAGGGTGAAAAGTATATTGCCAGCAGCTACCTGACTCTCAGTCGGTCTGAATGGGAAGCTAATGAGAGCTACACCTGCAAGGTGACCCATGAAAGCAAGACCATTGAGAAGGTGGTCAGCCGATCAGCATGTTCCTAAATGATGGATGTCCCATTGGTGGCTTCCATGTGTCCATCTACCACCAAAGGGCCAGCTACCTTTTCTGATTACTACTTAATGTCAGCTTAATTGATAAAGCTTCACATTTTCTCCTATGTCAATTCCACTTTCTCTCCTGTCAGCATGCCTCTACCCCCAAGAAATCCATGTCTATCTGTCTTTCTTATGATAGCACATTAATAAAAGTTGTTACATTTCATTGATTTTATTTTATTAGCATTTATTTTTTGACCAAAAGTGTTGTTGTCCTCAATAAAACAAAGTGTATTCCTTACTCTATATCCTCCTATTTTAAGGGTAGAGGGAGGAGAGGAGGGGAGAAAAACTGGCAGGGAGGAATCCGTGTTCTCAACACTCCTCCCTGAGGGTTCTTGCAAACTCCAAAATTATAGTGCTATGATTCCACTTTAACTGCCATGTTTGCGTCCTATGGAATTTTGGGGGTTTTTTAGCTACGTGAAACACTGAAGCTCTCTAGCTGAGAATCTGAGATGCCTCCTCCTAAAACAATGAAGTCTAGGATTCCATAGGGCATTGTCATGGGACTTAAAGTGGGATTGTACAGACATAATCATGAAATATGAACATACCCTCAATAAAAACAATGTCCTCACCATGGTTATATCGTTTTGGGATCTCTCTATTAGAATATTCAAATGAAAGCCCCCTCATCATATCAAGAGAAGAGATTCCACCTAAATACTGGGATGAACTTTTTTAACCTTAAAAGGGTGCGATAGAATGCCTTAGAAGGTGGTGGTCTCTCCATCTTTGGAGTTCTTGCTTCAAATTGTCATCTTTCAGGACTGCTACAGTTCTATATACCTACATGGCAATAGGTTGGAACCAATAGCCCTTGTGGTTCCCCTAGCACTCAGACTCTATATCTGATTTTTCAGTAGATCATCCTCCAGAAATTGAACAGACAATGTAATCAATAATTAAATTATGGGTTGCATGTATCTGACTTATCTGAAAAGAAAAGTATATAAAGTTCCAAATTCTATGGTTGCTCTTGCCTAATATAGATCTATTGAATCATTGGTGGTGAATCACACACAATCAGTTCTAAGAAAAACCACACGATAGAATCAGCCTAAGTGTCTCATCACACTAGAGCATGGATCCACTTTAAATCTGATTGCTGCCTCCTGTGGAATTCTGGGGTTTGTAGTTTAGTGAGGCCCAGGACCTCTCTGGCTGAGCATTTTAAAGGCCCCTCCCCTAGACTACAAGCCCCAGAATTCTGCAGGAGGCAGCAACCTGATTTAAAGTGGATCCATGCTCTAGTGAAGTGGTTCTCAACCTGTGGGTCCCCAGATGTTTTGGCCTTCAGCTCCCAGAAATCTTAACAGCTAGTAAACTGGCTGGGATTTCTGGGAGTTGTAGGCCAAAACACCTCAGGACCCACAGGTTGAGAACCACCACTCTAGGGTGATGAGGTCCTAAGTTGGAAATGAGTTGAAGGCACACAACAACAAGTCGCCATGGCTGATGTATAATATCCAGTTCAATCAGAAAGTATTGCTAATGTTGGCTGTGAATTGGATCCCATCCTAGAGCACACCTACAGCCTCATCAGATGAGCAAAATTGTACAGTGCTCCCTCTTCACTTGGTCACAGAGCCTGCTGGCTCCCATCCCATGATGTAGATCTACTTTCGGTGGGGCTCTATGGTGTAAGTGAAAGGGAGCATTGTAAGCGGCCACCGCAGCAATACGGAAGGCTTCCATGTTGCATAGGCAACAAGCTGAAGAAGAAAAAGATCCAGGGGGGACCATGAAAGGAGGCTGTTGTAGGTGGCCAGCATCTGTGTGTGGTGGGGGAGGGGGGCAGAACAGAGAAATATTAGCCCAGTGTATCACTGTCTTGATGCAGATGGCAGGCTATTTTGAAAAGGAAACATCATAAGCTTCGTTGTTTTTGTTCAATTCACCAAGACAACATAGCCAAAGCTCCCAGCTCAGTTCCACTGTGGATGACAATGATATTGTCACTCACGGTTCACAGGTAAAAACAGAGCTGAGTTTGAGGGGAGTATCTCACGCAGTTCAAGTCAAGATCAATACCCAACGCTTAACTGGCAAACAAGATGGAAGGAACGTGAGGTTTTTCCAAAAAAGCCCTGGATTAGATGAAAGCAAAACCGACAGGTTCATCCACCCCTAATAGGAGGCATGCTTGTAACACCTGGTCCTGGCTGCAATGATTATTGTGTGAGTGTTCTCACAAGTCCCAAGGGTTGACTTGCTAAGGCACCCTCCTGGGCCACATGGTCATGGTGTGTGCAACCAAAAAGACAAACTATATTTCTTGTACAAAAATAGACATGGCTGTGATCCTATATCAGGAGAGGTGGCGATGAACTTTGAAGCCAGGTAGATTCAGAACAGAAGGAAATCCAAAGTGCCGGACAGTGGGACATTGATCAATGATGCTTCCCACAGTGGGTGCAATACAAGAAGCAATTATGACAGAACCCCACCATCATCCCTACCGCTGCTTGTCACTGTGCCCTGCTGCCAAAAGGGAGCTGAATGGGTCATCTATAAGTGCCCCATACTCCAGCTCCTTCGAAATCCTTCTGTTGGGCTTTGCCTAGCTGCAGACATGAATTTTGGGCAGCACTTTTGGTCGTCGTAATAGTGCAATGACAGTAAAGAAGGATCCCGAGAGTCAGAATATCGTATGTCCAACTTAGAGTCAAGGGGGCTGGCCCTCGTTTACTGTACAGAAAGCACTTTCCCATTGAAAAACGGGTTCCTAACAGTTGGAAAACCCTATAGGATAGAATAATCAAACAGGGAGACAAATTTCCCTGTTATTCAAATGTTCCAAAGAGTTTCTGAGAATTTACCCCACACATTTGTTTTTTGCGCAAAAAAACCCCATATTTTCTGTGCTGAAAATTCTTTCTCCATGTTGCCAGCCCATTTTGTTGATATTATTGTTTTGTAATTGTATTAATTTACTACTCTATTTTGGTGTTTTGCTGTCCTTCATGATTGGTTTTAATTCCTTATAGTGTTTAAACGTAGAGTGTGCAAACAGGCAGACAAGATCCCCCCCCCCTTTTCAATAAACAACTGAACCATTTCACTACAGTGCTGCGCAATAGCTCAAAATAGACTTCCCGACAGGCACAGTGTGCAAATTGGCCACCAAAGCCCCAACAATATCTGCCACAGTGTTGTGCATGGGGACTCTATGCTTTGATCAGTCCGCTCCCTTAGTCCAGAACCCAGCAACCACGGCTCTTACAGCAGTGACATTCCAGAAGTTTTTCACTGATAAAATCACCATGCTTCGGCAGGAACTGCCCCCTACAGTCAATACCTTGAGTGAGCTCAAGACTTTGTTGCTGTTTAGTGGGCCTATCTTTGACCGATTTACTCCGCTTGACAGGGAAGATGTCGCCAGAATCCTGGCTGCTGCAAAACCAACCACCTGTTCCCTTGATCCGTGCCCCTCTTGGCTGGTTAAGAGCTGCCTGGAAGGTCTACTCGATCCGTTGAGTAATATAATCAATGGCTCTCTTGAACAGGGGGTCTTGAACAGGGGTCTTCCCGGACAACCTAAAAGAGGCAAGGGTTCATCCCTTGCTAAAGAAGCTTAGCTTGGATCCCATGACCCTTACCAATTATCGTCCTGTCTCTAACCTTCCATTCTTAGGCAAGATGATAGAGCAGGCTGTACTGGGACAATTGCAACAGTTTTTGGATGACACAGCTGGCCTGGACCTTTTCCAGTCAGGTTTTCGCCCTGGCCATGGGACGGAGACAGTCCTGGTTGCCATTACAGATGAACTTCGTGGCCAGTCTGATAGCGGCGGATCAGAGTTACTGGTACTTCTCGACCTTACTGCAGCGTTTGACACCGTTGACTACGATCTAATGATTCACTGTCTTGCCATGTCCGGAGTTCGCGGTCAGGCCCTCAATTGGTTCGACTCATTTCTCCGAAACCGGAGCCAATGCGTGGAGTATATGGATCAAGTCTCTGAAAGATCTCCCCTCCTATGTGGGCTACCCCAAGGTGCAATTCTCTCCCCCCTTCTCTTCAACATCTATGTTAGACCCCTTTCTAGTTTGGCTCGGAGTTTCGGCCTAGACTGCTATCAATATGCGGACGACACCCAACTCCTTCTGCGTTTGGAGCCTGGAGCAATGTCAATACCAGACAATTTCACCTTGTGTCTGGAGGCTCTGTCGAACTGGCTACGTGCTAGTAGACTAAAGGTGAACCCGGCGAAGACTGAGCTTCTCTGGCATGGCCACTCGATTGGTCTGATCCATTTGCTACCCACCTTCGATGGTGCTGCCCTATCTCCTTCGCCTACCGTTAAGAGCTTGGGTGTTGTTTTGGATTCACAGCTGACAATGGAAGCTCAGGTCGCTGCTGCCAGCAAACAGGCCTTTTTCCATCTATGACAAGTGAGGCAATTGGCACCCTACCTATCTGATGAGGCTCTGGCAACAGTCATCCATGCCACGGTCACGTCTAGGCTGGACTATTGCAATGCCCTGTATGTTGGCCTTCCGATGTCTACGACCCGAAAGCTCCACATTGTTCAGAATGCGGCAGCCAGGCTACTCACAAGAACACCCATGAAATGCCATATAACACCAGTGTTGCGGCATTTGCATTGACTTCCAACTGATTACCGTGGTCTATATAAGATGCTAGTTCTGACCTTTAAAATTCTTTATAGCCAGGGTCCATCGTATCTTAGGGACTGTCTCTCATTCTCCCAACATCGGAGGTCGCAACGACAATCCCAACATGGCTTACTTTATATACCGGGTCCTAGAGAAATGCACTTGGAAAGGACCAGATGCAGAGCTTTTTCAATTTCTGCCCCTGCCTTGTGAAATTCCTTGCCGCCCTATATGAGAGCCATTCGTGAGTTAGGGCCTTTTACCCTAGCACTTAAGACCTGGCTTTTTACTAGAACTTTTGATCTATGTTAATTTTATCAATATCTGTATGTATGTATTTTTATCCTTTACAATTTAGCTTGTAAATTGCCTAGAGCATCTTGGATGGAGGGCGATTAATAAGTAATTAAATGATGATGATGATGATGATGATGATGATGATGATGAAAATGTATATATTTTCACTGGGATTGGGGGCATAGGGCCCCCATGAAAGTTGGAAAACATGAATAAAATGCTATTTTCCATTGTGTTTATTGTTTTT